ACATCGTACATATATCCAGCTTTCATCACCAGTGATGGTATCAAATACCGCCGTTTAATATTTTTTGTACTTGACTCATACCAATGCCTAAGCTTGCCACAATCAGCTAGAAGGCCACTTTCTTATCTCCTTTTATCATGCGTCGCACAACACTGATATTGTATTCAGATAATAACGCTATTGAAGAACGTCCCTCACGCAGACCCTCACTGAGATTTCTACGCCCACGCTTAAACTCATTAAACCAATTGTAAACAGTGGCAATGGATGGGGCTTCGTTATTACATGTCAATCGAAGTCTATCATAGCTTTTGTCGTTGTGTAAGACCACAACGAAAGTCATAATCATGAATCGAAGTGTAACAAGACTTTTGGAACTACCATTTTTTCATAAAAGCAAATGACAAATGAATGCAATATATCACTTACTAATTAGCTAATTACCAAAGAGTTATATAATCCAAATTTTAAGAAAGTTTTCATTGGCAATGTTTCTATCTGGCCAGTTCTAAAAGGTTTCAATGTCACCGAAGTACGCAGTAACAATTTTATAGCAACGTCCATACTTTAGCGCATTTGCACCCGCCACCGTACTTGGTGTTGGTTTATGATTGTATGTGCCAATAAGGTGTAATTACATAAATGACTGATGCCTGCATAGTGCTGAGGAGTGTAATATAGTGCTGAGGTGATTAACAGAGGTGAGGTAGGTTAACGGTGGTAGAGCCACGCAGCAGCCTTAGCTTGTTGTACGAATGGGCAGGCTCGTCCGGGTAACACGACCTCACAGAAGACCGGCGTAAAGTGGAAGTATAATACCTTCGCGTTTCGTCTAGTGATTGAGGTTGCCGTGGCCAAATTTTCAAAAGGTTGTTAACGCATCTGCAAACCCTCGGGTGTAGCAAATGTCCATGGGCGGTGGTATTCACTTAACATCAGGTGAACGACCTGCTCGCACGACTTTTCACATAAAAAAAGATTAACGTACATTCTGAGGTGATGTTTCAAAACTGTTCATTTTTAGGGTTCTAAAAGGGCTAAAGGTGTAAATAAAAGGTGCTAAATCTACGACACACACGCGAAAGGTGGTGCTAAGCTTTAAGACAAGAGTCCATCAATATTATCGCTGCCTACATCGGAAGGATAAAATTTATGATTTCTAATTACCGACGGACGGGTGGGTTAATAATGGCAGAGGGAAGTCTAATATTCCAGTCCTTTCCATCACCTTTTAATGTTAAATTTAAACTATACTCGATAAAGAACAAAGAACACTTAACAGATTAGGTACAAGTAATACGCAAAAATATTCTATTAATGACGAACTACTTACGACATTCACTTCAATTGGCGATATTATTTTCAGTCCATAGGCTGTTAGCTTGGCTGAAAAGCTTAATAGAAAGCAGATCTTGTGAGCTACCTAAAACCCGACCCATATAAAATTAGTACACAATACGTATGTGTTATGTATTTAGAGATGCAAGCAAACTACGGGGCGGTCAGTTACACACTGTCTTTATTCGCGCTCGGCCAGCGCCTCGCGTAATACATAATTATGTACCCTCATATACATAACATTCCCTCCACCTTTTAGCCATAGTAACAATACGGAAGAATAAACTGAATAATTAACTAATATTAACAAATGAAAAGCAAAATAGAATAAATAAATCGAGATAACTTAAACTAAAAAAATCTTTTAAAGCTTAGGAATGAGTTTGGTTGGTTAAGTTCATCACTATCATCGTCACGTTCGCCGGGCGAGTCGGAGCGGATCGGTGTCAGCTCGCGCCTGCGCGGGACGGGCACCGCAGGAGATGTCGCGAGGTTCAAATCCAGGGGCGGGCTAGCGATATCCTCATTCTCCTTTTCCCCCGGGTCCGCTCGTGCGGGCGACGATACATTAAGCCTCTCCGAGAATTCGCAATCATTACTGCCCTGAGCGCTTGATTGGATGTCGGGGACGACATCGGGACTCCAACCTTCAAGGTTTTTGGGCTCACATGCGGGTGTACGAGCTCTAATTTGGTCCACATGCCGCGTCATCTCACAGTTATGCTGTGGCACAAAAACTGTATACATTACTTTACTAAGTCTGTTCCTAACTATGCCTTGAACCCAATGAAACTTTTTATTATCTGTAAATTTCGTTATCCATACTAGATCATTTATTTTAAATTCGTTTCTTGGAGTTCCTTTACAGTTTTTAGCCTGTAAGTACTGTTTTTGTGCTACCGTTTGAATAAGGTCTGAGGATGAGGGAGGCGACTTTTTTTCTGTTGGTAAAATTAGATCTAGTCTCGAGCGTAATGGCTTGCCGTAAACTAATTCCGCTGGCGATTTATTAGTGGTACTGTTTTTAGAATTCCTATAGTCAAATAAAAATTTTGAAATATACTGTTGTAGCATTTTGTTTTTTGTGTTAGTTAATATTATTGTTTTAAGACCTTTTTTATAATTTTAACGAAACTTTCGGCCTGACCGTTGCTAGCAGGGTGATATTTAGGAGAAAATACATGGTTTATACCATTTGCTAAACAAAATTCTTTAAATACTTGAGAAGTGAACGAAGTGCCATTGTCAGTTACTAATGTATGGGGTATTCCTACGCGTGCCATAAAATCATATAGCCTCTCGATAACCGCTCTAGTTCCATATGAATTCGACATTGTATAGCACTCTACCCATTTACTGTAGGCGTCAACAATTATTAAAAACATTTGATTGTTAAACGGTCCTAGGAAGTCTAGGTGAATGCGATAGAACGGCTGAGGCGGGTAGGGCCAGGGGGCGAGGGGTGCGTGCGGCGGAAGAGGTCGCAGCGCTGCGCACACGGTGCACGCGGCTGCCAGCCTCTCGAGCGCATTGTCCACACCGGGGAACCACAACCGTCTGCGCGCCTCGGCTTTCATTTTAACGACGCCGAAATGCGAACTGTGCAACTCCTTACATATAGTTTCACGTAACGAATCCGGTATAATTATCTTGTGGCCTCGCATTAAAAGACCGTTTTCGTACGACAATTGGAATCTTATGTTAAAGTATGGTTTAAGTTGCACATCCTTAACGCTTTTAGGCCAACCGTTAAGTATAAAATATTTTACTTTGCTAAGAATAGTATCGTTGTCGGTTTCTCGTCGCAAGTCATTCGCGGTCACTGGCAGGCTACCGTCTACCACGAAATTTACGTAAGCAGCCGGATCCTCAACGACCTTCTCATCCTCGATGCGATCTAACTCTCGTGAATATGGTGCATCAAGGGTCGCATTCACCTCGAAACTCGCTCGCGAAAAACAATCTGCACTTTTATCACTACTCTTAACATATTCGATGCGATAATTGTATGCCGATAAGAATATTGCATAACGTTGAAGGCGGTTTGCGCATATTTCGGGAATACCTCGATATGGACCGAAAATTGTGAGGAGTTGTTTGTGACCTGTTCTCAATATGAACGGAACCGATCTGCCATACAAGTATTGATGAAACCGTCGGACTCCGAATATTATAGCGGTCGCTTCTTTTTGAATTTGGGCTTTTTTTTTTTCAGCTACGTTAAGTGTCCTCGACGCATATGATACCGGTCTTTCGACACCGTCTTTGACGATTTGTGATAAAACGGCACCTAAGCCCAAGGGTGACGCGTCCACGGTTCATATTAATTCCGCGTCGGAATCAAAATGCGCCAAATAGCCATCAGTGGCCATGATGTTTTTTATTTTATTAAAAGCTTCGTCATGTGTTGGCGTCCAGTCCCATTTTACATTTTTATGCAATAATTTATACAAAGGATATAGGATTGTTGCAGCTTGTGGTATAAAATTTCGATAATAATTTGTTAACCCCAAAAACGACTGAAGTTGTTTAATGTTTTGAGGTCTTGAAATTTTTAGAATAGCTTCAACTTTGTCTGGCGATTTCCTTACCCCGTTTTTGTCGATTATATGACCTAGGTAGCAAATTTCATCCTTAAAAAAATTCACATTTAGAAGCTTTAACCGTTAAACCTGCATCCTCTAAACGTTGTAATACCGCTGCCAAACGTTGAATATGCTGCTGCCTATTTTCGCCCGTAACTAATACGTCGTCGAGAAAAAATATAACGCCGTCTAATCCAGCTAAAATACCCTCCATCGCTCGTTGAAAAATGGCTGGCGCTGACGACAACCCAAACACGAGCCTTGTATACTTAAATAGTCCGCGATGTGTATTTATGCACGTAAGGCTCTGTGATGAATTGTTTAAAAAAAATTGATTGTATGCCATTGATAAGTCTAATTTACTAAATTGAATGCCCCTGTTAAGTTTAGTGAACAAATCTTTAACTGTCGGCAGCGGATATTTTTCTAAAATTAATTGCTTATTGATGGTAACTGAATAATCCGCACAAAGCCGCAGGCCTCCGTCTTTTTTTAAAACGACGACTATTGGAGACGCATAATCCGAATGCTGTACAGGCTCTAATACTCCTATCTCCACTAAACGATCGATCTCCTTGTCAATCTTTTCCTTTAACGCATAAGGAACTGGCCTAGCCTTACAGAATATAGGTTTTGCATCCGGTTTTAAACGTAAATCTACAGCGTACTTGTTAAATGCGCCTAACTCGTCAGAAAAAACATTTATATATGGTAAAATGTGATATTATATACTTTTTGTTATATTCAGACCTCCAGCTCCATAATTTTTTTTCTTTTGTTTATGTCAATCTTCTCTTCCTCTTCTTCCACACACTGTGCTAGAAACCTGTGCCTTGTACCTCACGAGTACCATTGTGTGTGCATTTTTTATTCAAAAGTTTTTCTTTTTTGGGGATTACTTTCGCACTGAATTTTAAATTTAATTCGGCAACATTAGTGCGGTCTGTCTCTATAGCTTCTGAACAACTTGCAGTCCATGAAATATTTAGAATAGGATCGTGGACGTACTACAACTTGTTCTTTTCTTACAGGTGCAAGAAAAAGTGCTGACCTCTAATCACGATAATTATGTTGCTTATGAGTTTGCTTCTTCTCGGATATCATCTAAAAAGTAAGTTTTAAATGTTATGTTCTTGTTCGTTATCCATTTTTATTTCGCTAAATTAACCTATCTAAGTAATTCACTTTCCCGTTTCGTCCGTTGAGCGAAGCAAATGGGACCCTCTTTAAAAAGGCTGCCAATGCATCTGTAACTCTTGTGGTGTCGCACACATCGATGGACGACAATAATCACTTAACTTGAACCATCTGTTCGCTCGCCAACTTTTCACAATAAAATCTATGTTATCATAAATACGCAAATATTTAAAAATTCTCGTGAGCAAACACAGTAAGTCTTTGGTAAATTAGATATCTATCGTCTTGATTACGTCGTTTTACTTGTATAAATATACACGGGTAAATACCCACTACGTTTAACAGGCTAAAGTCATCCATGAAAGTATAACAGAAACTACTTTCTGCGAACACGAAGCGAGCCGAATTACACGTCTGAGACGATCCACGGCGACCGCCGCGAAACTTCCTTCGAGAACTTGTTGGATTTTTTCCCCTATCCAAGATCTTTCGCAACTCCATCCGCGCTGTCGGACTTTTAAGTGGTTGGAACTTTGCGCGCGACTCCAAGAAACATGGCCCGACGTTAAAGCGCCTCTCGGGATAAAACTGTTACTGTGGTCTAAACTAAAGATGTAATAAGAAGATTCGGCCCCACTTGTCTGGCGTTATTAAGAAATTCTGAAGAGTTTCAAGCTTTTTGTTGCGAAAGCACTTGACGCGAGCGCGGCGTCCCCTTCAAATGTTTTTATTTATGATTCTTTGCAAATACAAGAAGAAAATGGCAAAATACAGATTTCAAAGTTATAACACTTTAAAAGTTACAAATATAATACAAAGTTGTGAGGTGCCTTGTTTGTACATCAATAAGGCGGCTAATCGTGCTTTGGATAAAAAAATATGTCGGCTAATTAATGTTTGTACTATATGAACGATCCGAATGCCAAAGCCGTTTTCTGTGAATTAACCTTTGGGGTTTGGTATGTACGAGTTGCACAAATGTAATGAATAATTAACAAAAGAATGATGTTTACATACTAACCAACATTGTGAGATTTAGTCTCCCAATTGATATATGTATGAATATTACTACATACATGCAAACATATATTTAACAAGGGGACGGTTGTTATGAATTATTTTACGCATTATAGACGCATAGACCTACAATAATAGCTCAGCACTGGTGTTTTGAAGACAGTAAATCGATAAAGGATTAATCTGTTATCCATTACTCGAATGTCTTATGTGCCATAACCACGCTCTCATATAATTGTTTAGTATACGGCGTGAGGCTCATAGCGCGTCAACTAGGTTGCACATAGGTGCATATTCTCGGTGAAACATGAACTCTCGATACAAACGTTTGTAATTATAGGGTCCCGACTACTTTAAGCCTGATTACCCCTAATTTAAGTCTTTTAAACCTTTTGTTTTTGACGCGTTCAAGATTTCTTAGCAATGTTTTGTAATAATTGAAACCTAAATTTTTCTTCAACAAACATGGTAATTTAAATAAAAGAATTTTATTTACGAAAAGGTTTAATAAATTTTCAAATTAACTGAAAAAAAATTGTTAATATTAAATTACCAAGATTGCAGAAAGTACCCTCAAAAATGTAAACTATCATAAAAAAAATAACTTATGCTAAAGTTATTGTTAATGACTAATTTCATTGATAACTGAATGACATTGCCATATCTATTGCCCTACGTGAATGTATCCAAACAACGTGTTTAACGCGTTCTCCTTGCTTCCGTGCTTTTTGACGCATTCATGATATGCCGTGACGGCCGTGAGAGCTAACTCGCCGTGGTCAGTTTCGGCATGCGAGCTGGTGGCGCTGGGGCCGCTGCTGACGTCAGAGCCGCCGCCGCTGGTGGTGGTGGGGGCGTCGGGGGCGCGGCTGCACTGCGCCGCCAAGGGCGATCCCCAGCCGCGCGTCTCCTGGCTGGCCGCAGACGGCTCGCCCCTGCTCGACGAACCGGGTCTCAGGTGAGCGTTGCTCTCATTCGATAAGCTGTCTTTAAATTAAAGATGAGAAGGTTGCTGCAGTTACGTGTACTTCGCTTTCTATTAATTTTACGCCACAGTTAGGGTGTTGGTTGTAACTATTGAAAAATGTAAATTTATACATAATATCACAGAGTTCCTGCCTTATCTTCTCTGGTATTAATTTCCCTTCGTAAACTTTACTGTTTACTTTTTAAGCATTTCATTATTTTATTTTTAATCATTCGTCACTTCATCTAGGCACAAAAGTGTAGTCTCTTATTTTAGGTTATCGCCGATAACTCGAGTGTTACTTTGTTTTTGTCTCTCTATTCTAGAAAGTTTTCATAGAAAATAAATTGATTTCAACGACTTATAAATAGTAGCAAAGTTCAAAGTCAGCAATCAACGAAGAGCAATGCGAGCACAAACGAAGCGACTTGGCCCTCCGTCCAGGAGCACTTTTCCAAATTAAACTGGGAACTTCCTTTACGTCAACTCGTCCATTAACAAACGGGAAGGCAAAGCAAACTTTGTAATATGATTGAGCATCTAGTTCCCAGCGCTACAAATTGAATGTCTCCGGAGAGGGTTGTGGTGCAAGCAATAAATTTGTTTGAGAGGGTTTAATTTTCATTGCCATAGGTTACGTATTATTCAATATCATTTACGATCAACCAAAGCATTTTCTATACGTGTGACCAAGTGGAAGCGTATATCCATACGGATACAAGAAACAAGGAGCGAGCTCTACGAAATAATTCATGTTTTTTTCATAAAGTAAGGTTTAAATAAGGACAGCGCTTCAATAGAAAACCGCAGTCATTTTAAGGATATTTTAAATTGCTGGCCAAGAATATAATTGTAATTTGTTCCCTTTGTAATGAGTCTCCAAGAACGGTGCAATATATTATAACCATTCCGGTTTTAATGACTTTTTCTTAGAGATGGATAATACGGTTTTAAAGTTTAAGTACTTTTATTTAAGATGTACAATCGAATGTAGATCAGTTAAGGGTATTGTGATTTTACGTCGAAGCACTGTGAAATAATTACTTCGTCTTTTCCGTTTAAAAATTTCAAGACATTTTAATGGATCTTGTTTAAAGTTAACAAATACGAACCGTTAGTCGTGCAACTCTACTGGTATTGCAAATGTCCATGGGCCGTGGATATCACTTAGCATCAGGCAAACCGCTAGCTCGTCACATTAAAAAAAAGCTTTTTTAATAGTCGCCCTTATCATCGGAACGCCTGAGCCTACCATATCCGATGTTTGTTTTAGCTTCGAACAACAAGCTTTGTCCGCTATAATTGCATGTCAAATTGAAATTGTAACCTCTTCTAAGCTACCCTGTGATAAAACATGTCTATCGGGCAATAGAAAATACGTCTACATACAATGAAATCCATAAAAGAACTAAATAAAAAGATGTTATTGAAGGATGTTTTTAAAATTTACTTCATCAAACAAAAGAAAAAATACTGTCAATTGGACCTGGCTTTTACTGCTCTGTGCCAAATACAACATCATTTGCTCTAATGGAAGTTAAATTCCGCTCTCGAGGAACTCAATCGGATTCGGCGGAATGTGGCTATAGATAAGAGTTCTTTTATTGGTTAAGTTCCCATTTCTTTCTTGATAGTCACAGAGTTCTTCACTAAAAAGGATTCCACAATGACTTCACATCATTTTAAAGTGGTATCTTTTAGAAACTTAGATAAAAGGACCTAAAACATATTGATGCGAAGATGCCTCCTCTATTCGAGCAAATTTTAAAGCAAAATATAAAAAAATATTTTGTTGACCATTTATATAATGATTCATTTTTATTTACTTATGAAATTTCACCTACATTGGACATATTAAGCGTGCAAATTAATTATAAAACTAATAAAAAAAGTATATGTTCCAAAAATTACAGGTAGACACAACTTTCTTAACATAATAAACTTATACCCTAATTAAAATAATGTCATATCTATAAAGTAGTGTGAAAAACATTTATAATATATTAAAAACTTTGATAAAACAAGGCAATCAATACTAATACATATCATTAGTCCAATAAATAATCTAAGATTCACTTTTTTCAAGGATGTACTTATATCCATGTCATTTTGATTGAAAAATTAATAACAATGAGTAGTATAAGTTCAGATAATTTGTGGCATCTGATCGGATTTACTGAGGGCCGACCATCGGTTTAGTTGTATTGTATAATAAACCATAATGTCCTTCCACCATTGTAAACGTGTCGCGGCAGGCGGGTGCTTGGCGATGGCTCGCTGCAGGTGAGCCGAGTGCGCGGCCCGCTATTAGTGCGCTGCCGAGCTGCTAGCCCGCGAGGCGCTGTGCTCTCGCGACTCGTCACCTTGCAGTCCGGTATTTGAGCCCCACTGGCCATCCATCTAGTTTCTTTAAATCCTATAATACTTGTCATTTTAATTTAATTACTTTACCATCACTCATTGGAGCATATATTGAAATAAATCAAAAGTAAAAATTCCGATATATTATTTGAGCATTGGTGATTGTGGTTTGAGGAAATATATCTACACTGTATTCGTATGTGATCGTGTGCTTTAGCAGGTGACACCAGGTGGGAGGCGGTGGTGGAGGCGGGGGCGGTGTCCGAGGGCGGTGTGGCCGCGCTGCGGTGCCGCTCCGACGGCGGCGCGGCGCCCCTGCAACCCACCGCTTGGTACCGCGACGGAAGGGCCATCGACACCTCAGGTTGTCTCCGTTTGCTTAACTCTTACTTTAAGAAAAGAAAGTCAAAGATGAGGTTGATATAAAACGATAATGAAATATATCCACAACATCTGTGCTACTAGTACCTCCGTGTTTCTCTCGAAAAACAAAGAAATTTCTTTATTAAAGGCCTCCGTCGTCTGCTAACAAGGGCGTTTCCCAGCGGCATATTTATGTGTCGTGCGAAGTAATATTAATTAAAGCAATATCTCATGGTTGCGAAGTGGAGGCGCCTCGTGCCTCGTATTTCACGGGCGACGCTGATTAATGTCCGCGACCGATAACAACTCGCCATAATCTACTTGAGATACTCCATTGCACGCTATTATAGCGTACATTGTCACGCTTCACGGCACGTCTATAAGTTATGGCGCACGGGTGTCGGCCAAATTATGGACTTTGAATTCTCTAATATAATCAACTTTAATATTCGCCCTAAGAAGAGTTAGATACACAAAATCAGAATCATTCTCGTCTAATCTTGATCTCCTGATAGTTTTCAGTTCTGGGCGTTATAATCTTTTTGTTACTTCCATCGCCAAGGAATATAAAAGACATTAACTGTTTCAATTTCTTCTTAAAGTCGACTTTAATTTTGGTTTAAAACCAGTGTCAATGTATATGAAACTGATTACAAACAAATTGTAAGTCAATAATTATATTTCTATAACTTTAAATTAAAGTCAACATTATTTATATGTGGCTGGTGAAAGCTCTAAATTACATTATTATTCACAATGATTATTGACTGTCATCGTTTAACTATCAATGTATTTTATAATTGTTGCTATCATTGACCTACCAGATCCGCGCTATCTCTCCGCTGGTGACACGTTGTTGATTCGCGACGTGACACCTTCCGACGCGGCAGCCTACAGCTGCCTCGCGCGACATCCGCACTACGACCTCGCCAAGCGCTCGGGCACCACTTCTCTCAACGTCATACGTGAGCAACGTCATTCGATCTGTCGAAATGAAGCTATGTAGAAATCTTTATCATTGATATTGACAAAACTTAAATTACAGGCTCCCAAATCTGATAGTCAAAATTTAAATAGTATTATATGTTTTACTTGCTATACCCCTTGCCATCTTGATTAATAGATACGTAATGGTAGTTCCGTGTTTGCTTTATTTGTTTGTTGGATTGTATAATATGTTAGTGAGAAGTATGTTCAGTGCCACATCCACGCTTCTAACATATATCAGTCTGTCTACCTTTTGACCCGTTCGTACGGAATTAGTTCGTACGTAGTACGAATTGCCAACGCGGTCTGAGTGGACCAAGAACGGACCAAGAAGGTTGCGTTTGCAGCGGCGAGCGGCGTGGGGGGCGCGGGCGGTGCGGGGGGCGCGCCGCGTCTGGCTCCGGGCGCGGCCGAACTGAGCGCGCCTCGGGGCACCGACTTCTGCCTGCCTTGCGCCGCCGCCGACTACCCCGTGCCGCACTACACGTGGGTATCTGTTCTAAACTCAATCTTAACTACTACGCTTATTGCTTCTCGCCTTATTTACCTTGCATTGTGTGTACAATTGTATATAAATAATATTTATTTTTAACCTATCACCTTGTATATGTGTAAACTCATAAATGTTTGGGGTTTTTGCAGATCAATCCAGTTTTTAAAATTTAATTATATTTCCCCTTGCATATACAATTATTGACTGGACCGAGGTGCGGCCGCGAGTTCCATAACTGGCGTGAATGTCTATTCTGTTCGCAACAGATGGTATCGCGAACGTGAGGGGCGGCTGCAGCCTGTGCAGCTTGGAGGTAATGCTGGGAGCGTAATGACGTCAACGGGAGCGGAGAGCTCGCTGCGCGCATGGGCGGGTGGAGCCGCTCTATGCGGCAAGGCGACGCCAGAGCTGGCCGGCGCCTGGCTCTGCAAAGCTTACAACGGCTTCGGTGACGCCACGCTGCAACTGCGCCTAAACGTCGACGCGGAGCTGAACGTCACCGTTGCACCCCCCGTATTGGTGAGAGAGCTGCCAATCTCGAATCCCACTACCTTACCGCGTAAGCTACATCCCTGATATTGGCACAGGTGGCGGAAGTGGGCAGCACGGTGATGCTCAACTGCAGCACCAATCTGCCGGCGTCGTTGTCTTGGCTGCACGACGGAGTGCCGCTGCAGGCGAGCGGAGCGCGGCTGGCGGTGCGCGGCGTGGGGCGCGCCCACAGGGGCATGTACCAGTGCCTGGCCTCGAGAGGCGCGCGCCAAGCACACGCCGCGGCAGAACTGCGCCTGGCAGGTGTGTGGCTTCTCCAATACTTCATTGTTACGCAGATCATCACTCATCATGAGCATACCAATCTCATGATGAGTGATGATCCGCGTGACGGACGTCCTTCAATAGCAATATCTGAATATAAAATCAGTTCTATGCAGCTCATGGTAAAAGAAGATAAGAAAGCGACCTTCCAGCTTTTTAACAGTTGGATTCCAGATAATTTGAACGAAAAACAGAAACGCCTTCGCATGGATTGGTGTCGCGAAAAGTTAGAAAAACTGAACGGAGGTGACTCTAATGTTGTCATCGTCACAGGTGATGAATGGTGGATATATTGCTATTCAGTACTTATACTCAGTGAGTTTCTTTTTTTGGATCGGCCATCTAAAGAGAAGAAGAAGAAGGCAAAGGAAAAAGATGACAACCTCATTCTTTTATCGGAAAGTTCATTTCGCGACAGTTGTAAATGGAAGAACAATTACTGCAGACTGGTATGTTAACTGTTGTTTGCCTGTTGCTTGGAAAATGTTGTACATCAGCGTCCTCCAAGCCAGATCCTGCTTCACCACGACAACGCTTCAGCGCACTTCACGAAACAATTAAATATTTGACTATGTCGTCCTGACCTGAAGCCCTGAGACTTTAATTTATTCCCATGAATCAAAGATAAATTTTGAGGGATTCTCCTTACGAGCCCTGAAGATGAGCTGAGTGCATATTAAAATGCCGCAGAAGAGACTCCTAAGTAATAATGGGCCTGTAGTACTGCCTAATTTCAGACGTTCCATCGACTACTTGAAACAACCATAAAAGTATTGGTAACTTTCTACATTGAGCCGTTTTATGATTTTCTAATAACTTCCAGTGTGCCCACGTACTACCTAGTTGGCGTCGAAAGCTGCCAAATGTTTTTCGGCAGAAAAGAATTGGAATAATGTGCAATAAAATATTTTTATGATTTTATTGTTAGACAAACCATTTATAAATCAGGTAACATTTATCAAAACTAATCGTTTATGTCTATCTCATTAATTTGTTGTTGGTGTAACGAAATTTCAAATTAATTAACAAAATGTCATACTATTGCGTACTTGGGACATTTGTCACATGCATAGTTACTAGTTGGAAGTCGGTTCTCCATACAGGTACGAACCTAGTAAATGGTTGTATTAATTAAGAGCGTCCAGTGCTTCGATCAAGTGTGATCCGCGTCTTTGAGATTGGATAGCGAGATAGGGCGTCTCTGATTACTCCTAACCTCGGGTAGCATAAATCCCTATTAATTAAGCCTCACTGTAATATAAGAAATGTAATAGTTACTCATTTCACCTTGTTTGATTTCACTGCACGAAGTACGATCCTGAGCCACCTACATCCATCGACTCCCCGCATATTTGAAAAGTTCCGTCACTCTATTAAGTATTAAAAAAATAAAGGACCCGTTGGTCTTCTACAACTTTGGTACAAAATATAAATATGAAATTACTATTACATTAATTATATGCTATATATATTACTATCTTTTCGCCCGGGTCTTCGCTCACGTTGAAGCTCTTAAATAAATATCTTTTCTTTAATTCCAATTAAAAATGGCCGATGTCCCTTCTCAGGCTCTAAACTATCTGTGTACCAAATTTCATTTAAATCGGTTCAGTAGTTTTGGCATAAAAGCGAGACAGATAGACAGACAGAGTTACTTTCGCATTTATAATATTAGTATGGTACACAATCATTGAAAGTATAACTTCCCACGGCCGTTCTTTACAATTTTATTACAAAGGGACAGTAAAAATTTGATAAAAAGAAGTATACTGGACTCAACAGATTTTTCTTGCCTTTGTATCAAATAGATTGGAAATAAAGGTTACATTATTTATTTAATAAATATCTTGAATGATTCAGGGTAAAATTGATGTTATAACTTTTATGACAATGATATAGTCGCAGATCATTTTTGAATTACCATTTCATTACCGAGCTTGATAATAATTATATTGATATATTAATTCATCATTCCTCTTTTCATTACTTTGAAATTTTTGAAGAAATATGTTTTTACTGCTGCTAGTTTATATCAGTCCTTAGATAAATTTTATTAATTACTATATGAAACTGTTTTTACGAATTTATCGCGGTATTTTTAATTTTCAAGCGTTCACGGTCACGGGAAATGGAATTTTGTTAAATTAGAAAGAAAGAAAGAGAAAGAAAGAGATTTATTTGACATAAAACAGACTGACGTACACAACAATCACTTAAAACAATAAAAATTAGACAAAAAAGACATGAACATAAAACTCCAATATGCATATTTTCCCTTTTCAATAAAGTACGTCGCGATTCATGCCAAAAAGGACATCACTCAGCAGAATGTTGCAGTGAAACTGCAACGCTGATTTTCAGTAATGACCAAAAATTGGGGAATACAGCCCCGAGCCCAAAAAAAAACAATACATTTATCAAAAACAAAAGTAAGAAACTAAAATTATAATAAAATAAAAACTCAAAAAACAACAAAAATGGGAACGTTAATTAGGATCGAAAATGTATCCACCAATCCATACATGTGTGTGCATCAGGCACGTGCTTACTTTTCAGTTAATGGTACGGTTTTAGTACGAGAAACGAGAAAAATGAAAGAAAAGGACAAAAAATTTACATAAAATCTTATAAAAAGTAACAAAAAACATATGATGTTATTAAATCAAAAGAAACATGAAACAATAATAAAAAATGTACAAAAAAAAATAGCTGGTAGCACGAATGGTCAAGCATACCGTCCCCGTTTATGTTTTTTGCTCAGATAAAAGGTGTTTTTTTAAATGATATCTAAAGGAAAATTTGGTTTTCAAAGACCTTATCGGTGGCGGTATATCATTCCAACAGCGAGTGGCGGCATGCTTGAAGCTTCCTCTAAACGCTGATGTTCTAGACTGTGGCAATGAGAGCGGTTTGGCAAAAGATCTGCTAAGATATTTGTAGTAGGTGTGCTTCCAATTTAGTTTTCTATATAAGTGTTCCGGTTTATTCGTGTTTATAACGTCAAATAATAAATTAGCTAAATGTAGTTTTCTCCTTGCTTCCATTTTCAAAATGTTATTTGCGTTCAAATAGGGCGTAATATGACTTTGCCGCGGTATGTTAAAACAGTAGCGGGCACACGCGTTTTGGACTCTTTGAATTAAGCGCTTTGTTCTAGACAGCAAACATGGACCATACACAGTGTCGCAATAAGTAAATTTCGAAAGCACTAAACTTTCTACCAACCGTTTTCTTAATTCAATACTTAAAAATTTTCTAATCCCGTATAAAATTTTTAATTTATAGTAACAATCCTTCATAATATTATTTACGTGACTCTCAAAATGCAGTTCTGGATCAGTAGCAAGGCCTAAATTTCGGACAACTTCCACTCTTTCAATTTCTTTTTCAGTTATTTGTAGTTTTGGATTGGCTAACAAAATTTTTTTTATTTGATTTTTAGTGCCCAGGACCATAAAATTTGATTTTTGTGGGTTAATTATTAAAGAGTTTTGCCGAGCCCAAAATGCCACCCTTAGCAGCTCGGCATTAATTGTGTCAACCGCAAGTGATGTATCTCTCGAATTAAAGGATAGATAAAGTTGGGTGTCATCTGCATACATGTGATATTTACAATGGTAAAAGCATCTCGACATATCAGCACTGTATAGAATATACAGCAAGGGTCCTAATAAAGATCCCTGAGGTACTCCTCTCCGAACTGGTGCAGGGGAAGAGAACAAGGTCAATCCATCCTTTGCTTTAAGCTCAACGCGCTTGAGCTTGTAAGTCAGGAAGGATGTTATTACTTTCAATGTATTCCGTGACCTGAGTACAAACTATCCGTTCTAGTACTTTTGACAGACAGGGTAGTATAATGATAGGGCGAAAGTCTTTACAGCTTTTAGGCTTGTTGTTCTTTTTCAAGAGAATAACATTTGCACATTGCCACAAGGCAGGAAATTTACTTGTGGTAATTGATCTGTTTACAATTGTTATTATTGTTTCAAGTGATTGTGGTAGTATTAGTCTTATCATTTCTATTGAGATACCATCAATTCCCTGTGCATTTGTTTTGATTTCATTTATTATTTTGAGTACTGTTTCCTGATTCACTGTATGCAATGAGAAAGTAGCTGGACCGTAACGAGAGAATTCAAAGTAAGTTAATTGTGAAATACTCACTTTGGAGTCCTCAGGAATATCTAAGAATGATGCATTAAATTTATCCGGATCATTAAACTGTGGTGGAAGCTCATCATCTCTATTCATAGGAAGTACATGCATTTTTAAACTTTTCCACAGGTGTTTGGCGTTGGTTAAATTATTATTGATATGATTTTTAAAAAACGCTGCTTTTTTCATTATATAGCGCAGAGGTTGCTAAATGTTTTAAATCAATGTAATATTTCTTATGTGCTTCTATTTTTGTTTGGTGGTAACGTTTACGAGCATTATTGCGTAGCTTAAACATAAGTTTAATATTATCCGTAATCCAAGGTGTTTGTTTACATTTAACAATAGTTCTTTTGACAGGCGCGTACAAATCAAATAGCTCAGTTATAAAGTTATTGAGGCAGAGTACCATTTCATTTACATCCTGTAACTCACATAATGCATTCCATGGGATCACTCCGAGGTCTTTTTCAAGACAGTCCCTATGTATGTCTTTCACAGGACGGAATAAGACTACTCTCCTTCCAACCTTTTCCTTTTGAGAAATGATCTCGCATGTCAAGAAGGAATGGCTGCCTAGCTCACTTATATGATCCAAATATATGTTATGGTACCGAGCATCAGTGCATATAACATCTATGAGTGTGGCACTATCCCCTACCATGTGTGTTGGTTTAGTTATTATTTGGACCATGTTGTTGTGTTGAATAAATTCTGTTAACTTCTTTGTTTTATCATTGTTTTTGTTTAGCATGTTTACATTAAAATCACCTAATATAATAATGTTTTCGTATGGAGCCAGAGCATACATGCTGTCTGTAAGGCCATCCAGGAATATGTCGAGATCAAGCCAAGGTGGGCGGTATGCCGTTCCAATCAGTAATTTCTTTGTTTTATTATTAAGGCTTATCCACTTTTGTTCTACCTCAGGATGTTGAGGATGGCTTCTTACGCGATAGCTTATTTCCGTTCTTATATAAAATGCAACCCCCCCTCCGCGTCCATGTCGTGTGGTATCTTTTTAACCATGAAATTAATAATTTCATGGTTAAAAAAAAGTAACAAATAACAAACAAATTTACCGTGAGTTTATTAAAACGGTTTTTAAGTAATATGTTAAGTTTTTAAATTCAACCACTCAGTTACTTTATCAGAATGAAGTAGTATCAATTCCTTGGTGGACGCTAGTAAATAAATAGCACGTCCTGCCTGACTAATGGAAGTTCTTGCCAGGTGTCGGCCGGCGCCTAACAAATAGCGTTGCGCGCCCGCACCGCCTTCAAAGCCGCGAGATTTACGAGCGGCATAAGCTTGCACCAAGCCCACCTTCATCATTTTCCCCTTCGCGAACTTATTTTAACTCTGTTTCACCTCATAGGTAAATAATTTATTTACTACTTGCAAGACCGCACCTCGACCAATCTTGCGCTACCGCATGTCGAAGGCATCAAAATCTATGATATATGATATCTGTTAATGAGTAGTCAACAATGCGAGATCCAACAATGCTTGATACATTTTATAAATGGAACAGAAAAGAAGAATTTAAAATTGGAAAACCTGAGCTTTGACTTTTTCTAATTGTATTCTATACCAAATTTTTTGAAATTCACCTCAGTGCCCAGGCACTCGTTTGTGATTCATTATATACTCCAGGAACATCGTGAGGAAGCCTGCATATTTTCGTAATAATAATTTAAAAAAATATATTTCGAAGATATGTGAAATCTGCTAATCCGAGGTGGGATCGCGTCGTGGACTATGCTCTAATACCGACTGTACAGAGGGGGCCTTTGTCCAGCAGTGGCACATATACAGGCTGTAATTTACTAGTGAAACACGCTGTGGGCATTCTACTTTATAGGTACCCTTTATTTCCCAGAGCGTAAACAGGGTCTCTAAAAGATGAAAGAATGTACTACGAGTATGATTGTTGTTGGTGTTTAGAATCGAGGACAGTCGTGTATCGCTCCGTATAGAAGGCGATAGGGTGGCACTAGAGCAGCCCACTCTGAAAGAGCCCCGTACAATGAGCGCCCTGAATTTCAACAGCGCAGAGTGCAGTCGAGCGGGCGAACAGGATCGGCGACTGCTCGGCCGTGAGCCGGATAACAAAGGCGCCCTTCCGAGATGAAATAGCCATTGTCTATCATCTTCCGATATGCATTCGCTTAATTAAGCCAGCAAAGACAACGGCGCTTATCGAGAATTGCATATCTAAGGTGTATATTACGAGCAAGCAATAAGTAAGATTGCTTTTTTCTATTTTTAATAAAACTGTTGAGTTCCAAGTGTTTTGCAAATACAATAAAAGCTTAAGTATTATTTGAATCTAATGATTTAATCTATATATAATCTAATGAGGTATTGCACATTCGTAAACAAAAGTTTCGATTTCACTACCACCAAGTTAAAGTAAAGAAATTTTTACTTCAAAAACGTCCTTCATATATTACATCATCATTTTTATATACCCAAGTCCTTCATATATTATATATGAAGGACTTGGGTATATAAAAAAACTATATTTTTTTGTGTAACATTACTGCTGTTCACTGCTTGTTTTAAGATTTTCTTATAAGTTCATTAGTGGTAAAAGTTTGTCATAAGGCGGCAATCTGATCGAATGTAAACAAATCAAAATAACATGTAAACTATATATTATATGCGAACATTATTGAGCATTGTCATTTCTCTACATGGTATAAAATCAGTCGAAATCAATATCTATAATATATCAATAAAATCGCCCCCGATGCTTTAAGATCATTTAAACTACGCACGGATTTTAAAAGAGCGGTTTTCAGCAATAGACAGAGTGATTGAAGCGGAAGGTTTATATGTAGTATACATTTATATTATAGTAGAGAAAAGCCGATAAATGTAATATCTACATTGCACCTGTGCGAAGCTGGAGCGGGTTCCTAGTCATAGATATAAGCATTCTAAAAACTTGTAAAAATTATAATGTAATGCTCAAATGCAAAACTAGTTATAAAGATTTCAGTTGTTTTTAGGTAGTTCTTGATTAAATTGTACATTTATCATAAATAATAATATGAATGTGCATTTTTTATCCTGTTAAATAAATTTAAAAGACGTTTGGTTGTGATTTATCTGAATTCTTTAACTGGGAGTATAAAAAAATATCACTACATAGTATAAAAAAAAATTTAAAGATATAAGCATACATTGGGACTGACGTCCCTGCTTGTGCTGCTATGTATGCTTAGATCTTTAAAACTACGCAACGGATCTTGATGCGGTTTTTTTACTAGATAGAGTGATTCAAGAGGAAGATTTATAATTATGTATAATACATTGCACCCGTGAGAAGCCGGGACGGGTCGCTGGTTATTAAATAAATCGTAATAGATTGTGACTTTCACATTGAAACAAATATTTACTGTAACTTTAAGCCCACGTTATATACCTATTTTATTTCAATTCAAATTCAAATATCTTCGTTCAATACAGAAACATTACACTTACTTGATTGATTGTTAAAATACTAGTACTACTACAGATCTATATTTTAATACAAACTTCTACGCGCTGTTTCATTCACATAAAAATAAACAGTTTGTAGAATTCACAAAATTTCATGTAGTAACGTATTTACATATATATTTAACACATTTGTATATGTAATACATGATTGACACTGCTTCGCGGAAACTCACGAATTTGACTTAATCGGCTAGCTTTTTAAAATGTCATAATATACAGCTAATATTAACACATTTATTTAAACACAGTGGAAAGACGCCTGGATGGCATAGGCAACGCCACGCCTCGCCGGTGGTGGCACAATGGCTGTCGCCGGCGCCCCCATACATCAGTGGCCGTGACTAATGTGGGTCGATTTCCTTCCGCCACCACTTTTCACTGTCGATTGGCTCTTCGTGCCTCTGTATTTGTGGCCGCTCTGAGGGGACCGGATAGCCATGATGTTTTATACTGCATTCAACTCGTGTCAAGCTTAAATTTAATCGTTTTCTTATTTCAAACTTATAACGATTATTACAGTTTAAACCTCTTCATAATAAAATCTTGCACAAGTATTTCTTATGTAAATTGAAGATTTAAATTTTTGAACCCACTTTAACCACTATTATTATAATTATATTTTATTTCGCGTGGCAGTAAACATTAGGAGTTTCGAAGTAGACGGATACCTGTCGTCTCTATTAAAATCGGGACCACGGTCAATCTCGATGGCTTCCAAGAGTTTGCATATCACGAAGTTCCTTTTCACGAACTAACACTTTTTTATCGGACCTAATCTAATGTGATTTGTCGGAGTTAATAAATAGTCAATTTGATGGTAAATTTCTTTAACGCAAACGCTTTATGTTGCTAAAACTTTATTGCATTCATGGTCACGGGGCAAGCTGATCGAGTTACTATCATCTTTTAAGCACTTTGTGCATATTCGTAGTTCGAACAAATATCATTAATCCGACATTTTAAGGTCTTGCTGAATTGGTGTGCTTGACTTTACTTTCGTAGATTATGGATTCACTAGGCTACAATTTATTAAATTGTTTATATAGAAAAGAAGATTCAGACTGAAGTAATTATTGTATCACCGGTGGTTTCTATCATTACCTGCCACCAAATCATGACCAAGCTAACCATTAACTTCATCTTTACTCTACCTCCACCCATCGTTAGGCCGGCTACTCGATGCCTGTGCTCAAAACTTGGCCTATTTATTTCTACTCTCCACTAAATTCATAGCACTAGATAGGATTTCGCATCGCCAGCCCAAAAAAGGGAGCCACACTGAACTCTTAAGTATCTGGCATTGAGATATATACTCTGTACTACGTAGACTCCGCTCCCGAGCTGCAGTACACGTTCATAGAGCAAGCATTACGTGCGGGTGGCAGTGCAGCGCTTCGGTGCGTGGCAGCCGCCTCACCACCACCACGCATCTCCTGGCTGCTAGATGGGCAGCCTATCGAACAGTTCCTGCCACACCACAGGTACCCATACATCCTATGAGAGTTACGAACAAATTAAAATATTTATCCATCAAAGAATCTCACATATTGCTCTAACCCTAAAAAATATACAATAGCAAACACTTCCCCGTATACCGTTCATAGATGTAAGGAATTGACTTAAGCACTAATCAAAATTGAGTCCAAAACAGAAATTGTTTCAGATCAATAAAAAAAAAATCAATCCACTAAAAGTCATTGTCATCGTCTGATGGCTTCAAAGCATTATTCAAGTGGAAACGCATGCAGGTACCGCATAAGCGAAGAGTCCACTCCTTTGGGCGACGCGGCGTCCCTCCTCAACGTGTCCGTGTCGGCGTCGGACGGCGGCCGCTACACGTGCCGCGCCCACAACGCCCTCGGCGCCGCTGAACACTCCGCCAGGCTTAACGTCTACGGTCAATACCTTTCATTCTATTCCTCTCTTAGTTAAAAACAAAACAAAACAATAGTTTTCATCGGTGCAATTAAATGACAATTAATATATATTGTATTTTTTGTGAATCGCTCGTATCTGTCCAACGCTGAGTAGAATGATTTGAGCACTGTCAGCCTTCCAGCACTCAGTTGCCTTATGCATATTACGTGCGCAGGTCCACCAGCTGTGCGCGCCCTGGGCCCACTGCGTTTGGTTGCAGGCGAGAACGTCACAGTCTACTGCCCCTACTCCGGATATCCGATCAGGTCCATAGAGGTGCATTGCATAGGATCATTCCTGTAACACTAAAACACGATGATCTAGCAATTTTCACTATTAAAATCCCAGTACTAATATTAAACCGTTCTAGTTATGAATAGAAAATAAACTTTAGAATTTGCCTTAAATTAATAATTTCATAAAAATAGCATGGCGTCATTAAAGGCCCATTTACACGATGCCATTTTCTTGAACATACAAGAGCAATAATTGAATGCAATAAATTGCGCGCAATAATTGTTTAGACCATTTCTTGTTTAGACCATGCAACTCATTTATTGCTTCAATTTAATTGTATACAACAGGCAAGAAACTTGCACCGTGTAAATGGGCCTTTTACACGCCATTTACACGGTGCAATTGAAGCAATAAATGAGTTGCATGGTCTAAACAGCACATAACATTCTTGCCTGTTGAACAAGACTTGCTTCAAGTTTTGTTTCAAAACTTTCCTTGGTGTAAACAGCACATACAATAATTTCTTAAGCAATTCTTGCATTCAATTTTCTCTCTTCATTTGCAATTTTCTCTCCGAATTTGCCTTAAATTAATAATTTCAAAATAAATAATAATATATGGATAATAATAAATAAATCTCAATAGAAATATATTAAATCGGCATAATCTAACTTGAACACTTATTATTGACCCATTTTTTTTAAATAAACAACCCTTTTCAAAACGCTCAACACTTGAATGAAATATTTGTCAACGCAAATACGTGCAATACTTGAAGCAACACGCCAATAAATTGTACACGCACATACAAGCATGTGTTTAGAAAAGTCAAAACTTAAAAGCAATTATCGCCTAAACATAATTGCATTGGTGTAAACAAAAGACATTTGCAATTATTTCTTGTCAAGACTTGCATTCAATAATCGCATTCAATTTTTTTTACTATATCTGCGTGTAAACTGTTGCTTACAATTCTTGATGGTCAATTATTGCGTGCAATTTATTGCATTCAATTATTGCTCTTGTATGTACAAGAAAATGGCATCGTGTAAATGGGCCTTTAGTGAAAGAGGCGAAGCTCTCTCTAAATGTTTCGCGTAAAAAGTTGAGCTAAGCGGTGCGTGCGCAGCTCGGTTTGGTGGCGTCGGTCGGGTGGTGCGGGCGGTGGAGGCGGCGGTGCGGAGGTGGGGGCGGCGGGGCGGGTGTCGGCGCGCGACGGCGCGCTGCGGCTGCGGCCGGCGCTGGCGCGGGACGCGGGCCGCTACGCGTGCGGCGTCTCTGCGCCGGGGGGGGCCACCGCCGCAGGCGACGTCGACATACAAGTGCGGAGTACGTGGCCCTATCGATGCGTGGTCCATCGCACTACCAATGGCAAATCCGTACCTGAACAAATTGAAATGTTCAACTTTATGTTACAATTTTTTTTTCATTGGCGCTCATTTTCAAATTTTTTTAGCGTCGAGTAGAAATAAGTATTTGTGATTTATAGTTTAAAGTATCCTGTATCACTACTACATTTCTCGAATAAAGTGAAAACGTGAGTTCCCATTAAAACTTTAGACATGAATGTTGCACGCAACATTAAACAGCAAAGTTGAATCGGAAGAAATGCAAAGTTTAAACAACTACATTACAGGACTAGCTAGGCCTACGCGGTACTTTCACGGTTAACCCACATACAGGAAAATTTATTGTCCATTTCTAGATCCACCGAAAATATCACCATTCATTTTCTCTTCGGAGCTGACGGAAGGCAGTACAGTTCAAGTGCTGTGCGGTGTATCCTCGGGTGACAAACCTATGTACTTTTCATGGCTAAAGGATGGGCAACCGATTCCCGGTGATTTGCAGGTTAACGATTTCTTTCGTATCTTAGTACACAAACGTGGTTACCAGTTTTCCTAAATAAACTTACTAATTAGAAATACTATTCTATCGTATAAATTGTTTTATCTAGAGAAGATGCCTTAGGCATATAGTATACTTTACCCGTCTTCGAGTATATTTCTGCTACTTTGTAATTGTTCTCAGATAGAAGAGAAAAGCTTAAATGAATTTTCTCTACTGATGTTCTCCGACCTCACAGCAAGGCACAGCGGGGACTATACCTGCCGTGTGTCCAATCACGCCGCCACCGCCAACTACACGGCCAATCTCAATGTCAAAGGTACACACTACCGACAAAAAGTTAGTTCAGTGTCTAAGGACAAATATTACAAATACTACAAATTTAAATATTCAAAATATTTAATTACATATTTATAGCCTCCTAATGTCTCTTAAGAATCCACCAGTGATGTTAAAAGCATACATTTAATAATTAAAATATTTTCTTTGTAATTAAAAATATATATACAAAACTGTTCCTTATTAAAATTATCTTTTTTTTTTTCATAACTTGCTAGTTCCTTCCGTATTAGGTCCTTTCATAGTTATGAATTTTACGTTTTGTAAGAGAACGAAAAATAATTTTATATTTCATTTCATTCCTGATAAAATTGTGGGAGCGAGAATTCATATCATCTTTGAAAGTAATATAGACTAACCCCAATTTTTTTTTTGTCAAAAATTGTCCAAATTGTGAAAAAAAGTGGTAACCTGTTGGAGCAAGGTCTGGTGGATATCGGAGATAGTCCATCACACACAATTTAGCGACCGTCTGCCGTGAAGTGTAAAACCTAGCGTTGTACTTAAGCAGCAGTGGACTAGAGTTGAATAGGGAGCTTTTCCATCATGGTTTGCAATTATTGTCAATAAGGCTCTGTCATAATCGTCTAGCCAGATCTTAAGAAGCTGTAGTGTATGATACCATCACTGGTCCACCAAATACTAACCTGTACCTTTTTCTGAGTCAGCGCTCAATTACTTGGGACACGATGTAGCCGGTTCTCCTGCGTTCAACCACTGCGAGTGTTACCGTACCGAATCTATTTTTCATCACAATTAAACAACAAATTGAAGACAATATTATTGATTCTGCTGTCGGCGTTCAGCAGGGAGATCCGCTAGGACCAGCATTATTTAGTTTGGGAATTCATCCAATTATTTCAAACTTGAAATCTAAACTTAATGTCTGGTACCTAGACGATGGTACGCTGGGAGGTAAAGTTGAAGATGTACAAAGTGAACTTATCGAAATTATTAGACAATTTAAAAATATCGGTCTCAATTTAAATAATTCCAAATGTGAATTTTTCTTTTCCGAAAAGATTTCTTTTTCCGAAAAAATCATTTTGACCCAAAATTTTAGCTGTATCATACCGGGAATTAACGTAGTCCGTTCAGATTCACTTTACCTCTTAGGTGCTCCTTTGTTGATACCAAGTTTGGAACCTCATTTAAAATTAAAGTTAAATCAATTTTTATATCATGTTAATAATTTTTATTTCTAAATTCGCATATTTCGCTTACTATTTTGCAACATTGTATTCTTGTACCTAAATTTACGTACCTCCTTCGCTCGAGTCCAGTTTGGAAAAGCGGTGACTTTTTGAACGAAATTGATTTCCATCTTAAATCAGCTCTAGAAAAAAAATTAAATTTATCTCTTAATGAATTAAGCTGGACTCAAGCTACGCTGCCAATTCGTTTCGGTGGTATCGGTGTAAGGAAAATTTCTAGTGTCGCTCTACCTGCCTTCCTTTCTTCCGTGCATAGCGTAAATAATTTATGTAATAACATCCTTAATCACGATTCAGAACTTTCCTATGCAGAGGAGGCAAGGATGTCATGCTGTCTATCCGCCCCAACGAAAATATCCCACTGGAAGTAAACCTACAAAAACAGTGGGATGTTCCTTGGGTGCGGAGAGTACAGAGAGATACGTTTCAATCTTTAGAAAGTAATTTAGAGCGTGCCCGTTTTCTAGGCGTCTCATCTAAAGAATCGAGTTATTGGCTTCACGCTTTACCATCAAGTAACTTGGGCACATTACTTGACGATGACAATTCGTAGGGCTCTTGTTTCCATCAATGTTCCATCTATTTTAGAGCCCTGTGGCATTTTTCGCAACGATGGTAAGAGACCCGACGGTTTAACATTGATCCCTTGGGAGAGAGGCAAAGCCCTTGTTTGGGACGCCACTTGTGTAGACACTTTGGCTGCCTCTCATCTAAGGGGTACTTCGATCAGGGCCGGGGCGGCATCGGAGGCAGCTGAAGTAAGTAAATGGCGCAAATATGAGTCGTTATGTTTAGATTATGTATTTGTGCCATTTGCTGTTGAAACTTTAGGTCCATGGGGTCCCTGCACATCAAAATTTTTTAAAAGTTTATGTCCTAGGCTTAACGCCGCGGCTGGTGACAAGAGAGCTGGTTCTTTTCTGGCTCAAAGGTTAAGCATTACTATTCAGCGAGGAAATGCAGCTAGCGTTCTAGGCACCATGCTGCGTGGATTAGGTTTATTAGATAACATGTAATTTTAGATAGATTTAATCTTGTAAATATTAGATCAATGAAGATTGTAACATTTATCGATTAAATTAATTATAATAAAAAAAAATTAACAACATGATTCAAAATTTTCTCGTTATTGTGACGGTTGAGTAATGTAAGGCAAATGCATGTTTGTTTGTGTTTCATTCACCATTTGTCGAGGTTCTTAACCTTTCCATTTTATTTCAAGTGAATTAAAATTGTTTTGTCACCAAGTCTACCGTTAATAATCTAACATGGATTTGTGATGGATCTTCCACGATCACCTATAACTTTTTGCTGTCAACTAGGGTCTCCGATCGTCTATGGGTTGTTTTTGGGTAGTTCAAAATTTCCACACCGAAACGTTGGTACCAAAAACGTACAATGTTTTCTTTTAAAGTACCTTCCCCATACACACCAGTAATCCTTTCCATTATTTCTGCAGTGTTCGTGCCACGGTGGAAGTCGTATTCGTTTTTATTCGTTTGTTATTAGTGTGAATAGACCATTTCAAAGAAAAATCAATTACTAAATTCAAAACAAAAATAGACAAGCCTAAATTTTAAATAAATTTGAATTTAGAATTACTAGTCCAACGCCAGATATTTGAGATAGTGGTCAGTGCAACAAAACTCCAATTTCTTACACATATAAGGACTCATAATATTTATTTGATATAAAATTTTCCTTTCTAGATTTTTCGAAATTTCTTCATATTAAGCGGTTTATATCTTAAAATAAGACTGCATTCTAATTTCATTATACCTGTGATGCATCAGTCGCGCCGGCATGGGTCACAGAGCCCTTGGATTCAGCGGTGCTCCTAGGGGCGCCCCTATTATTGGAGTGCGCGGCTAAGGGCTACCCTACGCCCGTAGTAACATGGTACAGAAAAATAGGTGAGTAGTTAACATTTTATACCCTATTATTTTAAATAATTATATTAATTCACTGACTCATAATAAAGACGTTGCTTCTCTTACCACTTCTGCGTTGGTCACACCATCGTTATATGAACAAACTTTTAAATCTACACCGGTCTAAATAATGTTGCTATTTTATTTATTCTCTTTGGTACCTTATAAGGGGATGGCATGGAGGGCGCGGATCGGTGGGAGGCTGCGGGTGCAGAATGGGGCCAGGGCGCGGGCTTCTCGCATGCAGCAGGGGTTGCCGTCGGGGGCGGCGAGGGGGGAGCGGCGGGAGGGCGCTTGAGCGCGCGAGTTTCTACCAGAGACCTGCAGGGCATGTACCGATGCACAGCGGACAACGGCGTTGGCGCACCGCTCCTCAAGAACGTTAACGTCACTGTGCATGGTAGCAAATAGCAAATTTTGTTCTAATGAGTATTTTAATCTATCAGATCTGTGAGTTCCATACTATGTGTCCAGTGTACAGCTAAAGTTTACCGATTAATAAAATTGGTCATACAAGGAACATTTAGGATATTTTAATATCCGATACTAATTTTTATTTATTTATAAAAGGTACACCAAAAACATGTTCAAGGTACAAGAAAAGGTTAGAAGTACACATAATTAAATTAACATATGAACACATCAATAACAGGCGTACACATCTTTCACGAATAATAAATAAGATACGTGCTGTACAAGAAACTATAAAATATAATAACTAATATAAAAAGGTAACATAAACATATAAAAACATTACAAATATTACTCGGACGATTCATAACTGTCTAAGTAATTTTTTAAGTTCTGAATTAGAATTATGGAATATGTCAATTGATTGGTTCCTGCATTCAATTGTGTTATAACTGGACAACATGCGGTTGATGGGTGAATTACAGCCAAGATTTGTACGGCTACTTACAACCCAAAACGTTTTATTGTTTTTACTCGCTCGACAAAGAGAATTTCGTGGAACTTTTAAACCTAATTCAGATAATATCTCAGGGACGACTATTTTGCCATTTATAACTTTATGTAAGAATAAGAGATCATTTGACTTTCTACGTTTTTCTAAAGATTCCAGATTAAAATAGTTTATTTTACTTTGATAATTGGAAGAGCGAAGGCATTTCTTATCTTTAAAACTTAAATAAGTTGTAAATTTTTTCTGAATACGCTCAATTCGGTTAATGTGGCACTGATATAAAGGGTTCCAAACAGGAGATGCGTATTCTAGCGTGCTGCGTACGTAAGCATTATAGAGTCTTTTTAAAGGAATCGTACTCTGGAATTCCTTGCATGCCCTCCTAATAAATCCCAGTGATTTGTATGCCTTCCCAACTATGTGGTCGATGTGATTTATGAAAGATAGTCTTGAGTCCAAAAGTATCCCAAGATCTCGGATAACATTAACTTATTGGAGGATCGTGTTATTTAATTTGTACTGAGAAGATTTGATATTCGAATTACGCGTAAATTTTATGTGGTAACATTTGTCGACATTTAATACCATTCTGTTTCTCCGACACCATTCTTGGATTGAATTAAGGTCTAATTGTAGTTTTAATGCGTCATCGCTAATTTTAATGCGCTTATATAGTTTTAAATCGTCCGCGTAAAGTGAGCACTTGCTATATTTGATGCATTCCGTGATATCGTTAATAAATACCAAAAATAATACTGGTCCCAGGTGCGATCCCTGAGGAACCCCCGAGGATGAAAATAAAATGTTGATTCAAAACCGTTGGTCACTACTCTTTGTTTTCGTTTACTTAAGTAAGATTGGAACCACTGAAGGAGAGACCCGTGAATACCACACTTAGATAGTTTTGACAATAAAATTTGGTGGTCCACTTTATCAAATGCGCTACTTAAATCCGTGTACAGAGCATCCACTTGAATTCTTTTATCAACACTTGTGCAAAGGTCATTGGCATAAGGAACAAGATTAGTAACCGTAGATTTCTTTGCACAAAAGCCATGCTGTTGGGGTAGTATGATTAAATTGACATGTGAGATCAATACTGGGCACATAAGGGATTATTTTAGAAAACGTGCTAAGAAGTGACACTGGGCGGTAGTTTTTAATTTCTGAAGGATCGCCTTTTTTGAATATCGGAACCACATTGGCAATTTTCCACTCATTTGGAAAGGTTCCCGTAGAAAGAGAAAGATTAAAAATAAGCATGAGGGGATATGTGAGATATTTACCGCACCTTTTAATAAAATGAGGAGGTATTCTATCGGGTCCACAGCCTTTATTGGGATCGAGTTGTTTAATAGCTTTAAGAATATCACGCTCACTAAATTTTAGTTTGCTTAATACGTGCTGAGGGAAATAACTTTGTTCATTATCAAAATTGATCAGCGATTGAGATGTTGGGGATGAAAATGTGGACGAAAAATGCTCCGCAAAGATACCACATATGGCATCACCAGTATTAGCATATTTTTCAGAAAGTTTCATAACCGAAGGCATTGAACTGGAATTAAAACGTTTTCCTTTCAGGAACGTCCAGAACTTTTTAGGATCTCTAGAAATAGATTTTTCCATCATATTTATATAATTTATGTAACACTTTCTTATGTACTTGTGTGCTCTATTATTAATTATCTGAAATTCTATTCTATCTCGTGGGTTATTAAATAATTTTATACGATGCCTCAATTTTTCCTTCTCTTTAAGCATTTGTATTAGGGATTTACTGAACCAAACAGGATACTTTGAATTATGTGTAACTGATTTAGGCACTGTCAGATCTATAATAGAGAGTAAACATGAATAAAATGCAAGAACCATAGCATTAACATCGAATTGACAATCTTGAAACACTGTGTCCCAATTTACAAGTTTTAATTTGTCTATAACTAATTCATAATTTGCCTTGTAGTAATTATGGCTTACTATGCAACGGAACAAAATTAATCACATCTATAGAGATTTCGATTGGTGGATGATAATTATCCACTTTAGAAATAGGAGTAAGGCACTTTCTTACTTGAATATATTTACAATGATAATTACTTAGAACTAAATCCAGAATTCTATTATTACAGTTTGAAACACAGTTATATTGAGAAAGTTCATTTAAAGCCATAAAATTGATAAGTGCGTAACCAAGGCCACTATGATAATTATAAGGAGTCAAACCAGTATAATTTATCCCATTATTAGTCACTGTCCAATCGATAAAACTAAGATTGAAGTCGCCTAATATAATTGTCGGGTAAGTAGTATTTTGTAAACCTATAGATGCGCTTTCTAAAAAAGATTCTAAAGCGATCTGTGATACTGGTGGTGGCAGGTAAACAGTACATATATTAAGATAATCTTTATCACTATTCCCATATCTAATAGATACCCAAAGATCTTCTCCATCTGACTCCCATGTATACATGCGCGAGGATTCAATTTTTTTCGATACAGCGATTATAACACCACCGCCTTCTTTTCCCGCAAGAGAGGTCGTGTATCTGTCTCTACGGTGTATATTATAATGATCGGTGAATAATTCTCCATTATTTATTCCTTCTTTCAACCATGTTTCTGTACCCACTATGATATCGTAGTCGTTAATTAGGGTGCACAAATTAATGTCTTGTAATTTTGTACGCATTCCCCGAAAATTTTGATAATATATGTTGAATGTACGAAAAAATTGCGGTATTGTATCTTCGGTCTTAAATGTAAAGTTGACCAAGTTTCTATAAGTTCTTCAAAGCTTCTAAACTCTTAATGTGTTTTGCGGGTGCTCCATCATATTTTCGTACCAATACGTGACCATTACGAATCCAAACATATTATAATTTTTCTCGCGTGCAGCTTTTCTTGTTTCAGCATGAATTACTTTATTTATTGGAGATAGATGTTCCGAAACATATACGGAAGCCTTGGAACCCCCATAGCCTAAATGATGTGAATTGAGTTTATTATCTATGTTATTTTTGTTAAATTTTATTACAGATGCCAACAGCTCGCCACGTAGTTTAACACTACTCAACTTCACAATCAGTGATCGAAGTCGATCATTACTCGAATCAATTTTTCTTATACGCGTGGCGGAGATAATATCGTTTTCGGCTAGAGGTGTTTTTAGTGTTTTGCCTAATTGTATAGCAGTATTAATTAAATTTTCATTTTTATGCTCTGGGAGTCCATTGATTTCTACATTTTGCTGTCTCGTGTATTGTTCTAACAACGAAATTCTAGATGTCAGATCATTTACTGTTGATTTGAGTTGTTCATTTTCATTTCTCAGTTTTATAGTAGTTTCCTTGTGGGTAGCAAACTCGTTTTTAATCGTATCGAACTCCTTACTTATGAACTCAACAGACTCTTTCTATTCGCGCAAGATAGAAAGGTCACCCAATATTTTAGAAAATTTTTCATCAAAAGTATTTTTAATTATTTCCATATGTTCCGAAATAGAAGAGTGAATTTCTCTTCGTATCATCATAAGAAGGGAACCATCATCTAGGGAACGTTGCGGTATTACGATTGCTTCTTTGTTGGTCTCAATGTCCGTAGTTTCATTTAAGTCATGACCTTTCACGGGTGTGTTGGTGTTGTCCTGGCGAGAGGCTTTTGAGATGCACAAAGGACATGTCCAATCTCGGGGAACTTTCGTAGTTCGTGACAAACGCACGCAGTCGCGATTCGTATTGAATAGGACTAGTTTTTTCAAGAAACCAAAAACATATTGCACTGTACTTTTGTTTTATCCTTAAAACTTAAATGTTTGACACCAAAAGTTCACAATAATGTAAAGATTACACGATAAAACTAATTCTAACTTATTAAAAAATTCAAATTAAAGGAGGAGAAACGTACAGCACGTCTAGTACGCAAAAGTCATAACGACCTCGATTAGACCTTTTTTATGTATTTTAATTAAAGGATATATCTAAGAATTTAATGAAGAGTCTCTGGCAAATATCTAATGCAAGCTAAAATCCGTTGCACGAGTTTTCTAAATGATCACGAAGTTTTCAATCAAACACTAGAACTTCTACTAGTTGATGCAACAATGAATTTAAACGTCTCGTCCACAGAGCCGGCCCATTTTTCTGGTCCGGATGCGACGGCGCGCAACGTGTCCGGTGTGAGGGGCGCAGCCGCCGCGCTTTGGTGCGAAGCGCGAGGCGATGCGCCCCTGGCGCTGCACTGGACACATCGCGGCCTCAAGCTAGACCTCGACTCGTTTAGGTTGGCACTCGCTTTCTGGTTTCTTTAAGACGCCCTGATGCACTTTTTGCAGTCTTATTTGATAATAAGCTGCAGTTAAGTCATAAGTGCGTATGTGATCGTTCTTAGTAATTTATCTTTGAAGTTTCCGACTCCAAGTAAAATTACTCAAATTTGTCTTTGACTTTCTACAATTTATGAAGGTGGACAATTTCGGAAACACGATCTGGCGACGGTTTGCGATCGGTACTGAAACTTCGCGCGGTGGAGCGAGAGGACGCGGGAGAGTACCGGTGCCAAGCACACAACCGCTTCGGCAGAAGTGAGCTCGTTATGTTCTTACACGTTGAAGGTATATATTAAAGTTGCGATTATGATATTTCGATTATAGCGTAGTTGTGATTACTTATAGACGTTTCTGTGGTCAGAGCCTCCGGAAGCGCCACGGTCCGTACAGTTGGCGGGTACGAGTTCGCAGTGGATACGCGTCCGATGGCGGGCGCAGCCCCAGACTAGTGTACGTTATTCTGCTCTCTGCACTCCAATACATACAATCCCGAATTCGGACGACACAACACAAGTGTTCAATTTAACACTAGAGGCAGAAGATCGAGAAAGGTAAATGGATAAAATTCGTCATAATCAGAGGAACTTTTCAAAATGTTTTTGCATTGGTGGGTTTGAGATAAATCGTAATAATTTTAGCCCTGACGCCCAAGGATACCGTTCATTAAGTTCAAAGCTGGAAGGGTTAAGGCCGGCCGCCGCGTATTCACTGAGGCTTGTAGCTTCCAACCACGTCGGTCCGTCACCACATTCAGAGCCGCTGCTATTTACGACTCTTGAGGAAGGTATGAGGCGTTCTGATTCCAATACCGAATGTAAAGAATATTTTCACTTTTGAAAAGGTTTTAACTATTTTTAGCTCCTAGTGGAACACCGCAAAATATTCACGTGAAGCCAATAAATACGGAGGAATTGCACGTAGCGTGGTCTGTAAGTACCGGTGTAACATCGTGTAAATTAAATTATAACTGAAATATTTTAATTTTAAAATGACGTGTACGAAAAAATCTTAGGCACCGCCTCAGCACACATGGAACGGAGAGTTGCTAGGATATGCTGTGTCGTGGCGAGAGTTGAGTCGATTCGAAGAAGGTAGCTCAGAGGGGTGGGGCCTGCGGTCCGGTTGCAGCGTGTCTGGTGGCTGGAGTAGCAGTGAACTTGTGCTACGTGGGTTGCGCCAATTCGCTCGCTACGCTGTTACTGTGCGCGCGTTTAACACCGCCGGTGCCGGCCCACATTCACCTGTGGTATACGCCACTACTGCTGACGGAGGTAATTTTCATTTTATTTTATGTTATATAAACATTAGAGATGGATAGAAATAATGAACTTTTAAAGTCTTAGTTACTACAATTGATTATTCTTCTTTACATCTGGAATTAGTCAGTTGATAATATTAATTGTAGTAACATTTTAATATATTTGAAATATACATTTTTGTTGCAATTAGTACCAGAAGCGTCACCCAGCGCAGTGACATGCGTAGCGGAGGGTGCGCGCTCGCTACGTGTGCGCTGGACTCCGCCCCGCGCCGTTCACGACGCTCTGCGCGGCTACGAAGTGCTGTACGCGCCTATTCACAATGCGCCCAGTTAGTATTGACTTCATTTTCAATAACACTTGTACGGGACAAGAACGCTTAGAACAGTAACAGTTATTGTGAAATGTAAGTCAGTGTTTTAATCTTGCTTTTTCATAGGTACTTCAATCAGAAATAACTCAAGTTATGATTAAATTATTTAACTTTTTAATTAAGTGGAAGTCACTGTGAAAAAAGGGAAATGAAGTTTTTATTTTTGTTGTCAAATGCTGAATTAGAATTGTCCTACTATTGAAAGCCTCACTGTGTGTAGCTTGGAGTGGAACGGGTGTAGAGCAGATAGTGGGGGCGGTGGGTGGTGGGGCGCGCGAGGTATTGGTGCCCGCGCTGCGAGCCGCCTCCAACTACTCGGTGCGGGTACAGGCGCGCGCACCGCGCGGCACCGGCCCACCCTCGCCGCCCGTGCACTGCGCCACCCACGAAGATGGTCAGTACTACGGAGATAAAAGACTAATTCCCGTGTTGATTAAGTATTTTAATAAGACGTGGATCCCTACAGTCCCATCGGGTATCTGCGCAGCAGACACGGCTGGCAGAATGTGACACCAGACTAAATCATTAATAATAATTTATAATTGTAACTCATTCATAATTGTAACTCATTCGTAATTAATAATTGTAACTCATTACGCCATAACGTATAGAGTGCTTTTTATTTCATTCCCTTGCACGCACAGTTCCGGGCGCGGTGGAGACGTTGCGTGCGGTGGCCGTCTCTCATGACGCGGTGCGTGTCGCGTGGCTGCCGCCCGCTGAGCCCACGGGCCGCGTCACGCATTACACGCTCCACATCAGGGAGCTTGGCAAGTATGCCTCAACAAATGCACTCTCTTTCCTCCGCGAAAATTGGAAATCTTGACCGTTAAAAGAAAAGGAAACAAGACGTGGATGGGGTTTTACCACAAGCCATTATAAAGCGTTATCTAATTTAAGGTGTCTACCCGGTGAAGTGAACTTGTTGTCGTTGCACGTACGGTGAAAGCACTTTTTGCCATCGATTGTAAATAAAACCGATGAGACCAATTTCCTTTTGTAATCATCGAGTTGAAGTAAAATAAAAGAGAGAAATTCGCCCAAGGGTCGGCGGAGAGTGGTCCCAACGCGTGGAGACGAGCGCGGGGCCGGGCGAGGAGGAGGAGGCGGAGTGCAGCGCGGAGGTGTCGGGCCTGCGCGCGCGCGCCGCCTTCGAGTTCCGCGTGCGCGCGCACTCTGTGGCCGGCGGGGGGCCTCGCAGCCGCGCCGCCGCCGCCGCCACCGCGCAGCCGGACGCGCCGCGTAAGCCCGCCCCTCTCGTCTCGCTGACAGGTTTAAGGGCCCGAGAGCGGCCTCGTTACATCGACACATTCGTTCAGTGAGTGCGCGCATCTGGTCGGTGGGCCGCGCGGTGTGGGCGCGTGCGGGCGGCCGAGTGAGGCTCCGTTGCGCAGCAGCGGGCACGCCGCCTCTGGCGCGGCGCTGGACGCCTCTGCCGCCGGCGCACACGCTCACGGACGCCGGTGACCTGCTGCTGCACAGTAACATCTTCTCTTTCTTGTTCGCTCTTACGACGCACACCACTTTTATGCGAGTCGAGTATTTAATGTGATGGTACTCACGAGCAAATGAACACGTGCAGAGGTGGAGAGCGGCGGCAACTACTCGTGTTCTGTGCGCAACGCGGCGGGCGGCGACCGCGTGCTGTACGCGGTGCGCGTGCGGCGCGCCCCCTCCGCGCCCGCGCCGCGCCTCCTGCGCGCCGACTCTCACGCGCTGCACCTCGCCTGGGACCCGCCGCCCGACAACGGCTCGCCCATTCTCGGTACGCGCCATTGGCATTTTTATCGGCATTCATTACAGTTATTGCTAATCAAATTGTTAAAATTACATCTTTTAACCCACAAATTTATTGAAAGTAACAGTAAACACAAATCAAATCAAATCAAAATAATAATTCCTATGTACTCTGTCGACTCAACGTCAATAAGCTCAAACATCGTTAATAGCAAAAAAATTCTTAACGATTTTTTTCTTTATCGTGTGTAAATAAATTTTTCTTTTCTAGGCGAGAGCCTGATTGTTTATTTGTGTTAGCATGATGATGTAGACTATACATTATTATTATTATTATTATTAAACAACATTCGATTAGATATGAACACGGAAACTACTAATACACTATTCAGACATTAAGTAGTCACGAATCCGACAGGATATAGCATATGGTGGCGGCGTGCTTGGACGGCCGATGAGCACGAGCACGAGGCTCGCAGCATACCAACTGCCGGCAACAAGTTGACACTGCGCGGGTTGGCGTGCGGAGCGCCGTACGCCGTGTGGATGCATTCGCACAACGCCCTCGGCGCATCGCCACCCTCTCATACGCTCACCCTGCGCACCAAAGGAGACAGTCAGTAGCATTATGTTCGTTACCTTAAACAAATAAGACTAATAATAACTAATAAAGAACTGAAAGCTAAACTATAAAGTGTTGATGATAAAATTGACACACTCTATGCTTACTTAGTTGTGTGTGTATTGTGCATAAGAGAGCGCATATTGTGCGTAGAGGCGAAGGCGCCGCTGGGCAAGGAGCTGATCTGGGCCAACAGCAGCGCTCTAAGACTCAACTTGCTCACGTGGGGGGGTCGGTGCCCTGTGGCTCGCTGGGCGCTCAGAGTTGCCGACAACGATGTCACCGCTGACGGAGAGTCTGCCATGGTATACTATTTATACCCTTGCTGTCACTGAAAATATTCAGGCAAGAGTATCCTGACATATGATAACAACCGCATCTTGAGCAAATCAGTGCTCATGTATGCGAATCAGTCAGTTCAATAAGTTATTTTTGGTAATTTAAAAATATATATATTATATTAATATACTGAAACCTAAACCAAGTGGAGTTAAGTGACCGTGTTCGCTATCTTATTTTTGTGCAAATTTGCAGGAAAATAGAGTTAGTCGAGAAAATAATGTCCGAATTGTACTTACTGACAATCGTATTCTACGTAAGAAAAATGAAACAAGTATCAAGTACTGCATGGTCATGTATAAGCTATTACGTAATTCTTCATGTTGGATAATGACTGTGACTCATAGGGCTGGAAAGCATTAAAGGTTATATAAAGTTTTTTAATATAATACAAGTTCTAAAAGTTCTCTTAACTCCTTATATTTATTGATTTCTTTAATAATTATCATTTGCAAGCAATGCATATTAGGGACTGCTGTATCTATTAACTTTGTTTATTTTGTAAAGCTATCAATGTCATTTGTGGTTTATTATTATTTACAGTTTTATCTGTCATTATGGCTCTACGAAAGTGTACTTTGTGACTCTGGTATTCCATAACTGCTCTTATTATTGTTACTACAAAATAAAATTACACTTTTACCATCCCTCATCCTCAACACAATAAAGTATTTTTTTATATTTTTCTTATATCCTAACCCGACGACAATGATATCTTAATTGATAAAGTAAATGGTTTTAATTTTGTATATACTTTACTTGTTTTAGGTTGCAACAGATTTGAATTTGATTTGATTTGAAAAAACTAGTGTCTTACAATTTTTTCCTACACATATAAATTATTGACATGTTTCATTAACCGTCAGGCCGGTAATTTGGAACCGGGGCGTTGGTATGAGATTCGTGTAACGGCTTACTCGCCCGCCGGTGACACGATGGCACTCTATAGAGCACCTACACTCACAGTCAATGGAGGTAATTTATTGACATAATCGGTATATACCCTTAAATCAATCCCTTACTTTAAAATTAATTGTAAAAGAAAAGTTAAAAAGACGCTATTATTTAATTGGCCGAAGAATTTTAAATTAATCAAACCAATGAATTTATTACATCTCTTACACGAATTATTAAATGATATGAAAGCTTGTTGCGATACTATAATTACAAATATATGATAGAAAGCATCCATTTTTTTATTGTTCCTCTAATTATGAGTGTGTGTAGTCCAGCATTTCTGACCAGACTCGAGACAACGATACATATAAAATTGATGCCATTCGATGTGAGGTCTGTGACGTTACATCAATATTCGTGACTAGAACGTATCGGAGCGCCCACGGAGCTGCCCCTGACGGGTGACTCGAGCGCTGCGGGTGGCGGGCTGGGCGGGGGCGGGGGCAGCGGGGCGGGCGGCTGGCGGGGCGCGTGGCGGGGCGCCGCCGCGGCCGCCCTGGGCGCCGCCGCGCTCGCGCTGCTCGCCGCGGGCGCCGCACTCGCCGCGGCGCGCTTCCGCCCCCCGCGCCCCGACCCCGACACGAGCGCGAAGAAGCTGCCGCCACCCGATGGTCAGCCACTAATTCGAGCCAATGTCAATGTGACATTTTGTTTGAAAAGAATGTATTACATTTGTGTGTTCGTTAGGTGACCTGCAGGAAATAAGTCCGTACGCGACGTTCAGCATGTCGTCGTCCGCGACTGGAGGAGCTAGAAGTTGCGCCTTGCATGTCCACTCGCTGGCGCGGGCGGATTCGCTGGAATTGGCCGCGCCACCGCCGCGGCCGCATCTTGCACCTCATTCCACAGGTCCGATATACTCGCTACATCTCATGCTAATACACAATTTAAGGCGCCGTATGCAGTCAACGTTTTTCATGTAACAAGGTGGGTAGCGAGCTGGTAGTTCACCTAATGTTAAGTGATAAGCGCCACCCATGGTTTGACCCGTAGGGTTGCAAATGTAGCGCAAAATTTTAATAAAGTCTTCCCCGGTAACCTCACTCACTAGACGACACGCAGAAATCTACCACTTCCATTCGCGCCGGTGTCCTATAGGGCAGTGGTGCATGCCTGCACGAACCTGCCCGTCCGTGCAACTACCGACTTAAAAATTTCTTTGGGGTGTATTATTACATTTTTATAGTGTACCAATTATGTTGTTAGATTAAGATTAAGTAAGTTATGATGTAATTAAGTAAAAAATAATTCACAATGCCTCACTTTGGAAAATAACAAAATAGTGAAAAAAAAATATAAAACACAAAAACTATACGATAAATTTTCTTTTAAATACAGGATAAAATTAATTATCTGGTTGAATCCGATCTATAAATAATAATGTTTTCGAAAAAACCCGACTAATAGAATAGATGATCGTCTTTGTAAAAGGTGTCTAAATTACGCTTTATGTAGCAATAAGAATAAGTATTTTATAGAACCGAAACATGGACATGTCATTTTTCGAATCTGACCTGGATCTGACAGATTCATGTTTTCAGGTCACTTGGATATATTAGACATAATATCAAAGTCGCAAAATTTAATCCACTAATTGTCATTACATTTTCCCATTATTTGGTGGAATTTGTTTAATTTTGTGTTTTTACATCTTCCCTGGGGACTTAGAGTTTGGAGCTTCTGAACACAGGTCTCCCTATTGACATACACTTCATTGCTTTTTGATTATACAGCGTGTCTTTACAATCGCGGCAATAAATGAACACATATAGAGGATAAATTAAAATTGTATTAAACATTTACATTCTTTAAAACATCAATATTTACGGAGTTATTAAATTTTACAAAACAAAGAATTTTACAACACTTACGGATAAAACTGTAACGTAAAGTTCATTTGTAAAGATCAAAAAGCTTAGGAATAGGTTGAACGAATTTGAAAGAGACAAAACATACTGTTAGAAGGAGATGCTTGTAATGCGACGCTGTGGCAACGAATGAAAAAGTCTCTGAATGTACGAATCAGTCAGTTGTAGTATTATGTATAGGATGTTAAAAATTTTGTTTCTCTTTAATTAATTAGTTTATTTGAAAAACATTTTTTTTTATTATGGTTTTTTAACGTTAATATTTTTTTATGATTATTGGCAAGTAGCGTTAGACGTGTGTTCATTTAATGTCGCGATTGTAAAGACACGCTGTATATAATCATTCAATTAAATATTCAGTAATGAAATACATAATTTTGGAATGTTTTAAACACAATTGTTTCCCAAAGTGCTATTATTACTGCAACATCAATTAAAACCCTAGTTTGAGATCATGTTTGGAAAAACACTATACGTAAGCAATCCATGCAAAATACAGGAACAAGAAAGATTATTCAAATTTATTGAAGAACGGCTATGGAGCGAGGGCAGTATATTTTAGTTTGGCATTTGATTCCGTTCCAATACTGTAGCTATTCCCAAAGAGCTATTTAGGAGAATATCAATGGACGGCCGCAGAGCGCGGCGCTCTCGGGACGTAGCCGATAAATCTGCAGAAAATGGCGCGCGCTGCACCGCCAATTTCCGCTGAATCTATTATTGAGGTCGGCCGGGCGGGGAATTGGCTGCCAGCTCGATCGGAACATCTCCGTTGCACTTTGATGTATTAAAATGTTTCCGTGCTGTAAGTGCCGATTGGTGAAGGCGTTACGTTTATATGTACGACGGCCCTCGCGTCTGTTCTTAGTACTCCTGCATATGTAGATTTATGCCGAATGTACTTTGTGCGGCGCAGAGTACGGCAGCGGCTCCGAGTCGAGCGGCTCCCCGTGCGCCACGTGCGCCGCGGAGCTGTACCGAGTGCCCGCCGCGCGCCTCGCCGGTATGCGCCTTGCACTCTTCACCAACTACACCACTCAAACATAAACCATTCATTTCAATTGAAACTTGTCTGTAATCAGTGATAAATCATTTGTTTCTATTGAATGTTGCATTCACTTTGAATCTTTTACTGTTAGTAAAGTTTCTACAGGTTCCATAACAGTGCAAATTAAAATGTTCGTCATACAAATTGTATGGTGAAAAGTGTAAAATTTGCTTCAGAATGTGGTCAAAATTTATTGAATGGATCAGCTTCGTCTATTCATCTAGACATCATTCGGGGCACGATAAATTCAAAAGTTAAAGGATGAACGATCTGCAGACACGCTGCCGGCGGGCGAATGGTGCGCGGAGGACAGACGTGTTCCGAGAAAAGGGCCGCGCTCCTCTAGGGCGGAGAGGGGAGAGAGGGGCGAGAGGGGGGAGCGCGGGGAGAGGGCGAGAAGACGCGACACCTCAAGGCTCGTGCAAACGCCCACCGGCAGGTAGGAGCGCGCACCCGCAACAGTCCCTTAATGCACCCGTGCAACCAGCACGTGAACAAGCACGTGTCAAACGTTGACTTGTTTACAACAATTCGAACATTCATACAATTCAAGCATTCGTATTTTTCATAATAATTCGAAGCGAAGTTCGTATTCGTTGGCAAAAATAGTACAATAATAACAAATTCGAAATAAATACAGTTTGGAATTTATAGCGAACTTCCATTTAAAGGAAACCTCCCCTAAATATATGAATTTCCATTTCGTAATTGAAATACTAAATAATACAGCGAAATTATCTTAGCATGACTTTTTAAAATTTTCTTTTTTCTTGACGAAGATGATGTAGCCATATCTCAATGTATGAGTATAAAATACATTGAGATATAAAATGCGATTTATTGTTCGTTTGATTACGTAGGGTTTTATTTGAACAGGCCGATAGCACAAGATAAGTACATGATGATACACACAAGCTAAGTAATTATATTGCATTATAAAATATAAAAATTAAGTGCTATACAATAGTTGGATAAATAATTTGAAAAAATAAAAAAAATCATTGCATGTGTTAAAGTAATTCTATTTGATATTACTCTCAGTAAAATGTGTCTATTTTTATGTTGGTACAAATACATACATCATGTATTTTTATCGTTTTATATGGACTACTAGCTGACACGGCAAACATTGTTTTGCCATATAAATTAATTGTAGGGTAGAAAAAAAATTTTGGGATGGACCACCCTTAACATTTAGGGGGATGAAAAATAGATGTTGACCGATTCTCCACCCTGGCCGATATGCACACAAAATTTCCCGAAAATCGGTTGAGCCGTTTCGGAGGAGTTCAATTACAATAAGTCGTTTGCTTAGCTATCAAATGTTCGTTGTTGTGACAATGAACCGTTTAGCTAAGTGCTTAAAGCGTCTGGGCGCGATTCTTGAAGAGGCGGGTTCGATTCCCGCGACGGTGAAAAACTTTTCGTCCACTTTTTGTACTAATGTTTCATCTTAAGTGCAGAGCTTAGCACTGTAAAAAAATAATATTAAACTTAAATATCAAATATTGGTTGCATTTCATTATAACATTTTTATTTTAATAAGGTCTTTATGCTAACGTAGAAAATTCCAAAAATTAACAATTAAAAAGAAAATGATAAATAATGATTTTGTAATACATTTACTTTTTTTTAGCCATAGCAAAATGAAAATTATTTTTCTTTTTCCAAAAAAGCCACCGTTTCTAAGGAGATAGACGGTAGTGAAGTTCGCTAGGTCGGGTAATGTGGTAGAAGAGCCCCCGAACTAGACTCCCGCAGTCCCCGAGTCCTAGCATGGCTTTCCGGCTTCACTTCCCAACCATCCAAAGTGCGTCGAACCGAAAGTGCCGCGGCGGCACCAAGCATGGCATAGCCAATGAACGATGCATGAACAAAGTTTAGTTTGGATAGATAACGCTAGCCGACTAGAACCAATTGACAATTGCATTCCTAGAAACTAAGCTACCTTATTCCGCATGAGTGCTCATAGTGAAACACTAGTGCAACCACCTTTGTCCTATTCACAGAACGTTCCTTTACGAAGCTTTACGTTGCAGATATTTCTCAACGGCGTCACTCGAGTCGCGTCGCGCCGCGCTCTGAACCCAACCGTCTCACTCAAAGAAGTTTTCAAGACTGTTCATGAACGGTGTATTGTGTAACCCACATAATTGTGTCACTTTGTAAGCTCCACCGTGTTGTTCCCTGATGACTGACCTGTTTCCTGTTTAATAAATATTTGATCTATATACTTGTTTCCTTTTTCATCCGAAACTCCTTTTATTGTTGCGAAGGTAATGGTGTTTTACTAAGAAAACGCCAGTTTGCCTGTTTTTTCGTTTTGTATGACATGAAAGACCAAGCGATAATTTCTTGTATTTACGCATTTAACAGTGGTAGGGACACGCGAGAGCCTCGGCTGTTGCACGTACGGGTAAGTACCACGACGTTTTTTGCCGTTTTTATAGATAGTGGTACAGAACCCTTCGTGCGCTAGTCCAACTCGCACTTGGCCGGTTTTTTTTACATAAGATTAATTCACATGGTTTTTTGTTATAAAAAACCGCAATGGGACGCGAAAAAATCTGTTAAATACTTTTATGTAACAAAACGTGATAATTTCAATTATTTTATGAATATATTATTGATATTTATATCTAATGATATTTATTTTAAAAAAATTGAATACGAAAAAAGTCCCGTTAGATAAGTTTTTTTTTTTGTTAGACGATTACAATAATTGTATTTAAAAGTTCACTTGAATGCGTAACTTCATCATTAGCTTATAATAAAAACCTCCTGGTCCAAAATAAATCATTCTATTTAAAATTTTCCCCTTTCGGAAGCAGACGATAGGACGTCAAACATGCGATAGTAAGTATTTTATCTCTAATAAACATATCATGAAGGACATAGCTGTGTGACTCCTAATTTCCGTTATGGACTAATAGGTTGGTTAATCAAAGCAGCAATCACATAAAATTATGCTAAAAATGATCAGATGTCTCTCGTTAAACTGCCTTGGGTTTCTGAAAGGTTCGTTCAAGAAAAAATAGTTAATCACTCTTTAGCCAATGATATTGAATGAAATGAATTATTTACGTCACTGAATATTAATTCTCTCTTTCTATTGTATAGCTGTCTCTTTTAAAAAAATTTAAGAGAATGTCACTGTCGTTTGTTCTATCTTGTCCTAGTTTATATATTAATAAACTAACTACTATTATAAAGTTTTAAATTATAAAACAAATATATAATAATAAACCTTAATAGCATGTTTTTGAAAATATAAAGTATGAATATCATAACTAAGAACATATTAGTGGAATTGAGTTTATTTGTATAATCAAAACTGAGATTTTATTCTTAAACAACGATTAATCACCCAAATACACAGATTAGCTGATCAAACTTTGACAGCTCGTTGATTATGGAAAAACGTTTCGAGAAACTCGATTTTCTGTTGATCGTTCGTTATTGTAAATCAAAATCAAGGTTGTTTTCAGACGTTCTAGCAACTCAAATCATGTAATAGAATAATTAGCAAGAGATTATATTTTGTAAATTAAAAAAACTTTTTAACAAAAAAAACCGACTTCAAAATACACACTAAAAAGTTGTAATATAAAAAGGTTGTCAGCTGTTGGAAATCTAATCTATGTAACCTAACCTACCTAATCTCTACATAATTTGACAATTTTTGGAGTCGGTGAAATTTTTCACCATGGGTAATGGTTGTACACCATAACACCATGCTAAAAAAGTAAAAGAATAATCAATTAAATTGATAAGCATATTAAATTGATTTGAAAGTTTTTTTTTTTATTTTATTTTGTTTTTAATTTTTATTGAATCTTAAGTACACTAATTTGTTTGAATATGAGACGCAATGCAACAACGAACGTAGGTGCATTCCAATTTGATTACAAACAGTTAGAAATTTATCCTTACCATAAGCTCAGTACATATAAATTTCAACTTGCTACGTCCACCTGTTTCTAAGAAAATCAGAGGTGGTGATTATTTACAAATTTTATTATGGCGGTATAATGGGTAGGTACGGAACCCTCGGCGTACGAGTTCGACTCTCCCTTGACCTGTTTTTTGTTTTCATTTACCAATTGAGAAGATCTAAATCGTCACTATCATCTTTGAACATGGCCCAAGGTTCATCTCGATATCATATCATGACAAAATATGAAATTTTTGAATAAATAGTTACTTAAGAAATCTTTAGCTACAAAATGATTCGTTTCGTTTTAATTTCAAAAATAATTGTAATTAGAACACTTTCATAACTGGTGTAATGGTAAATATTCTCTCTTTTTCAAATAAATTAATTAACAAGAAGATAGGATATTGGCTGAGAATAGAAGTCAGAACTCGCGTCACACACAAACCAAATGTTCCAAGCACTACGTCACTTAAACGTTTTAATTAAATAACTGCTATTCCACTTAACTAATGCATAATATAGGTTGACATTTCTGTCTACAAATCACAATCGGGTAAGGGGGCGTGTCGGAGCGGCAACGAACCCACAATTAAACTATCTAGTTGAGTGAATATCCTCATTAGTAAAGCAAACTGCTAGGTCTTTAATAAATCGTTGTCGACAAGTGTATTAGACGCCGCTGAGACTACATGTTTTAGTCTAATTTCTTAAAAGGAACAAAATATGACTTTGCCTTTTAAAACGTAAGAAGTTTATTATGAGGAATTGTAAATTTGTTTAAAATTTGCGCAAATTTTTTCCTCCAAATATCTGACCTATCTACTAAATAAAAGTCATGGCGCCAATTATTATCGTCGTGCAAAAATTTAATATGAACATATCTAGTACAATATTTCGTAATTAGTTATCCAATGGAAATTTACAGGAGTAATTTCTACTTGGATTTTGATTCAATATTTTATTTCGATTCATAATAAAAAAGAATAAATAAGAGTTGGGAAGTAATTGTGGCAGGTCAGCAAGCAGCTGTTTACGCGGCCACCTGGTGGTGCTGCGTCGGGCCGGTTACTGGCGGCTCGACGGTGGTCCTCCAAGGAGACAACGCCTGCACGCTTGTTATTGCTGGCTGGTGTTTGCAATAACCTTATTCTACCTTGTACAGGAGTTTGTGTACGCGTACCAGGTATGAGCCTGAATGAAGACCTGCACATAATATAAAATATTATTTATTTATGAGTCGTGAATAGTATTAATTATGCTATTTTTCCAACAGGAGAGGGGAGATATGGTGAAGTTATCCCGTGTCATGTTTCTTCTACTCTGTCACGTCACATCCATCATCAAGCAGCTTGTGTTTCAAGTTGATGCCGATCGCATCGAGACGATGATCAAAGGCTTAGATGGTTTATATCATTTAATTCTTTGCAATTAGGGAAACTTACTTGTATAGTGTTGTTAAATAGCCATGGTGGCTCAGGCTTTGCTTTTAATTTAGTTACACTATATACGAGGATTAGCGGTAGAACTTTTTCTTTCTTTCGAATCTTTACATGATTGGTGATAAAAAAATCATAAGGAAATCTAAGTTACATGTAAAAAAAGTAATGAAATATGATAATAAATATTTTGAACATATATGAAGTCTATGCCAGTGTACTAGGGTCGTGTTGCGTACTGTGCTCAGCTGCGGTCGTGTATAACAAAAGCTTGTACTTTTAATAATTGATCGATTCTTTGTAGCGAGATTAGTGATTTCGCTGCGCAGAGCCCTGTTTCAAGAGCGATTCGAGCGCTGCGCAGTGGCTGCTGCGGAGCACGGCGGCGCACGCGGCGCGGCTGAGGGGCGGCTTCGCCGGCTGCGCCGTGCTCACGTGCGCCCTCTGGGCTGTGTTCCCGGCGCAGGCGCACGCGCGCGGGCTTCACGTCGAGTTCCCACTCTGGACAGGGCTCGACACCTCGCACACCTTTGGGTTCCTATCTTATCTTATTTCAAAGGGATCCAACTGAGCTAGCGATTCTCCAGAAGCCTTAAGAGAGCGCTACTCATGAAACTCACAAAAACGGCGTTGTTGCAAGCATGTTAGAAATCATTGAGATCTGTTGTATAACGCCGTGGTACTTAACGAGATGAGCTATAGCCTATTTTTTGTACGAGCTATTGTGTAAGCTGTGCGTGCTCAATACAATGTATTTTCTCTGAGTAAGAATTCGTGGGTTCAATTACCGACAAATATCGTAAAGCATCGATAAATCCGAATCCGGATGTTGTCCATGTGACATTTTGTAAGTAAAATGTCATTACGACATAAGAAAAGATTATGTTACAGCAAGGGCAATGTGTATAAAAAGTAATAATGATATGATTGTTTGTAGTTTCGTCATCGTACTAATCTACACTTACTACGTTACTACTCTTGTGGGGATCGCTAACACTACTATGGACGCTTTCATAGCGACTGTTCTATATCAATGCAAAACTCAACTAAGGATTCTAAGGTAACAGATTTCTGTTGAGGGATTCTTTTAATAGAATATTTAATCTCTTAATATTTAATATTTTTTCATCTGATACACATTTAATATTTAGGAAATACTAAACAAATTCGTTTCATATCAAAGCCACATTTTTTTAAGGCCACACAGTCCCTATAAGCATCCTACCTCGCGGAGTAACCAGGTTTACCCAGTCTAAAGGCATGTGCCACGGGGACGCTGGCGCACATATTTGCTACCCAGATTGCATTGATCACCATTGTTCCCCACCTTTTGGGTAAATGCGCTAGATTAAGCTCGCTTTCCTACTCTGAGCCAAAATCTGCTCTATGGCTCTCTCACTCACTTGCTTTAACTAGCCAAGACAGGGAGGGAGAACAGCTTAACCTAATACCAATACTCCTCCTAACTGGATGTAAAGGAAAGGGGGAGGGTCTGTGTCCTCTTTGACAGAGAACAAAAGTTCGCCATAACTTTTGTTACGTGCAAAATTAATAGTACAAGTACAACTGCAATTATTGTTAAATTTCAATATCTTTCCAAAAGACCCGATTAGGCATGTCGATAGACAGGATAGTTCATAAGTTCTGTCCCATGATGAAAACGCTTCTCATACCGTGAGGTTCAGGTACTTAATAACAGACACTAGAGATTCCAGCAAGAATCGGCGCCAGGTCATAGAGCGATAAGTACGCAAAACTAGTTGCTGGCGCGTGAAATTGACTTTATCCGATACGAAGACTGGCCCTCGTCCAGTTCAGACTCAAATCCGTTGGATTATAAAATATGGCAACACTTGGAGGAAAAGGCCTGCTCAAAGCCTCATCCTGATTTGGAATCACTCCAGGCACCCTGATCAAAGTAGCCGTCGATATTGATATGGACCTCGTTCATGTAGTTATAGAAGCCTGCCCGCGCAGTTTGAAGGTTTCTAATTCAATATCGCGGGGGTCATTGTGAATAAGCTCTCAGTCAGCATAAAGCGTTTATACGTTGAATCAATGTGAAAATTGGCGGTCCTAAATACTCCTTTTTATATCAAAATTATCTATTTTAATTTATATATAATTTTGTAACTTAATCACTTTTGATTTTAGAATGAATTTTAAAAACTTGCCTGAGAGGGCACTCTCTATAAGTAATGAAAACGGGAAAGATCGAGATGAAGTTTTATTACAACTTTTTGTCGATTGTTGGAAGCATTATCAAAAAGTTAGTGAGTAAGTAAAAAATATCCTGGTATATTTTTATTAACAGTTATCTATAAAGTCAATTAACATTTATGATATCTTTTTGAACCAATTTTTTTAAACAACATAATCAACAGTATAAGTATTTATTGATGTAAAAAGAAGAATAACAAACTCTACTATCTTGACTTAAAATATAGAATATAATATAAATAGGCCCTATGTATTATTTAATAAGCTTGTTTGTGTTTAGAATTGCTTGGTTGCTGCAAAATATTTTTGGTACCGCTATATTGATACAGTTCGGAATTGGCGGCTGGATATTGTGTATGGCAACCTACAAACTCGTGAGCGTGAGTAGTTCTACCAAGATTTAAAGTAATGTTTACAAAAGCAATGATAACGTAATACTTGAAACTTTCAGCTCAGTGTACTTAGCATCGAGTTTGCTTCGATGGCGCTCTTCATTAGTTGTATCCTTACAGAATTGTTTCTCTATTGCTACTATGGAACGGAGTTAACAAATGAGGCAAGGAATATTTCTATATGGTATTTACTTATTTTTATTCAATTATTTAATATTAATGGTTGAATTCGCATGTGTTAAACATATTTTACTAAACTTATGGTTCCTTAAACTAGACCTGTCCAGAGAAGAACCGGCATATTCTGCGGTCTCTATTCTTTTCTTTCTCTTTTTTTAAATTATATATGTACATATATATAACACACACAATCATTTGTAGATTAACTACTGTTAGGAAATAGAAACGATGATTGATTTTTTTAAAAGAAGTTATTGGTCAGTAGGCTAAACTTAACAGAAGTTTCACTATGATTCTAAGTAACCGACAGACACAATCGTTATTAATTCGGGTAGAGCTTCAGCACTCTACAACGGCTGATGAAAAAGTCTCTTGACACGGCGAGCGATGCTCCGTTTATATATAGTCGCAGTGTGCTACTACCCTCCTATCTTCTAACACGGCCTCTCCTGACGACTGGTCGTCCTCGATCCTGAACTACCCACGCGTTGGTCGTGAGTCGACGGCGTCTTCAGCGTTGTCTGTACACAGCGGAGCAGGTGGTCCACTGCTGGTGTTGATGAGTAGGCTCAGAGGGGTAGTCAGCATTGTCTGGAACCAAGCGGGGGCTATCAACGGGGGCTTGAGGCATTTTATCGACGATCATACCTCTTTCCAAATATCTGACTAGCGAGTCGAACGCTACAGTTTGTATGGTGATTCTAGCAATTGCTAACACATGTAACTGTCAACATGATGTACGACTGGATATTGCACATATACACATGACTAACAGGCTAACGCCAATATGACTTAGCACAGCCAGACTGGCTCCAATGACTTAACAAAAGTTTGCTAACGCTACAATGACTTGAAGCTAGATGAGCTCGTGGTAACGTATTCGTTAATAAACGGCGGCTTGATAGCATATCAACGCCTGTGTTCGACTAGCGAGACTATTCACTACGAACAAAATAAAACAGCGACTTGACATTAAGTTAACGCCTATATGTTAGACTAGAGAGACTACTCACTACGAACAAAATAAACCAGCGCGACTTGACATTAAGTCAACGCCTATGTTCGACTAGCGAGACTACTCACTACGAACAAATAAAATAGCGCCTTGACATTAAGTCAACGCCCATGTTCGACTAGCGAGACTATACTCACTACGAACAAAATAAACCAGCGACTTGACATTAAGTCAACGTCTATGTTCGACTAGCGAGACTACTCACTACGAACAAATAAAATAGCGCCTTGACATTAAGTCAACGCCCATGTTCGACTAGCGGGACTATACTCCCTACGAACAAAATAAACCAGCGACTTGACATTAAGTCAACGCCTATGTTCGACTAGCGAGACTACTCACTACGAACAAATAAAATAGCGCCTTGACATTAAGTCAACGCCCATGTTCGACTAGCGAGACTATACTCACTACGAACAAAATGAACCAGCGACTTGACATTAAGTCAATGCCCATGTTCGACTAGTGAGACTATTCACTACGAACTAAATAAACCAGTAGCGAAGAATGCAGCATTCCGACGGCCACTCCGCGCCATAGCACCATGTGTTCCTCAGTCGCCTACGTTCTCTTGCCGTTTCAGAAACCTGTTTGCATGCCAAATTTCTAGGGCTCGGTCGAACCTGACCTTGCCATATAAGGTAACTAATAGACTTAATGAAGTAAGTAACTTTAATGAAGTCACAGAGTGAATGATGCAACTCTCTTAATCAAAATAATACCTGGTTTTCATAGGAATACTGACTCGTCTCAAGTAAAAACAAAACTAAACAATTAAATCAAAATAAGCTCTACACGCGACTACTTATCCAGTAACCTCCAGTTACCCAACCATTCATTTGTGCATCCACACATTCGTGGATCACCAAGTCACACCCGACTTCATGGTTTCCTACAACTGACATCAACCAGAGCTGAAAGCCTACCGCATACTCACGGACTACTGTAAACAGAAACAGATTTCTACCGATGTATGGCCACAAATCAACACCTGGTACTGTCACATCACAATGTAAACTTAATCTTCACCTGTCTCCTCAGACACTACACTTTCAGTATCGGTTTCCTCAAGATCGTCAGTAGTGCTCTGATCACCTGGCATTTTCTTTATCTATCATGACAATCCATCATGAGCATACTTATAAGTACCGTTAGAGTTGAAAGCTTTCAGGGTATAACGATCTCCCTCTAAACTTGAAATGAACCTCTATATTTAGGAACTAACTGATTGGTTACGCCTTTCTTTGTTTGAAAAAGAAAAAGAAATAGTTTTGTATGAAAAAGAAATCACCAAGACAAACCCTATCAAACTTGACCTTTGTTCGATCAAACCAACGTTTCTTATATGAAGCCACATTATCTTAGCTGCTTCGCACCTAATAGATGTTAAGTCTAACTCAGTCCAAAGCTCATCTTAAAAACAGATTACTCAAGTCCATGTACCACTGAGTATAGTTGTTCAAAAAGAACAAACATTCTGAAATCAATAAAAAGAATAACTTGCAAGCACCAGGTTACACATTTGCGGTACACACGTAGCTCCAGCAAACACATTTGCTAAGCTCCGTTATGGGAAGTCATAGTCAACCCTCGACTCTATGATTTCGCTAGAAGGCAAGATGAGACTGTACTGCCCAAAACTGCTGTACTACCCACAGACTGGGCAGACGCAGACTTCTAATAGGCTACGGTAACCGTATTCTGGTACAGTCTCTGACCTAACGAATCGAGAACCGGCGGATTTTATTATCTAGATGCTCC